CAACCCCCAACCTGGAGGACCAGGAGACTGTGTTCGTCAGACCTCTAACCATTGACCAACCTGGTATGAGAGACTCTGTGAGTGTCGCGCGGACACCCCCCAGTATAGCTCAATGGGTCGCCGAGGTACACAAACCGCCACACCACGATAAGGTCCAGTCTCTTCGTGACGGGTTAATTTGAATGAAATCAGGGGACTAAGTGCTATGTAGCATGAAATAACAAGTCGTCATTGAATGGTCCGATTTCTCATCTGGTGGAGGATTAACTTATATCAAATGTCTAAAAGTAAATATAAGTGTACGTTGGACTCCTAGTTTTAACGAGATAATCATCGACCCACAGACTTGAGATACTAACGAGTTCTTATGGTAATCATAAGGTCTTTCTTGAGGACAGATATTTCGTTGTATGAGCAGTTTGGACAGTTATCTGCAACTAAATTTTTCTGCCTGATAAGTAGCTGTTTATTATAAGGCACAATAATCTCATTCAGTGTTTGATGGCTTCAGCCCGTTGGCGAACTCATGATCCTGAGGCCGACGATCCTAAATTACTGATCCAGGGTTCAAAGGATTGATCGCACTTACTAGTAATTGAAGAGTCTCCGCTTTGAAAGGACCTCGTGCGACGGCTTATCGGAGTCTGCTCATATCTGAAGGCTAGAGCTGTTTGACTGAAGATTTTTACGGAAAGAATCAGATGGAGTTTACGATTGATGAAGGTTGCGACATTTTCCGCAGTCTTTTTCAGACAGTTTAGCTTCACTTGGCCATTTGCCTTTTGGCTTCACATTTACATTACAGATAAGTCCTTAAAAAGTGAAGTGAAACGAGAGCTTGAACAAGTTCAACGAGCTGAACGGGAAGCTGAAGAGCTACGGGAGCGATTCACGCAGAAGGTTGTCACTGTAGAGAAACCCATGGTCCTTTCAAGCAAGTCATTTATGCTTGTCATAACTTGTTTCTTCTACGCTGTCTTCTTTTTAAAGCGATAGTTGTATAATTTAGTCAATCCTCCTCCTGGCTGTTCATGTTGATTGCAATTGTCCACTCATCCCATACAGACAGAATGGTTGTAACTGAATACACAACCCTCTCTTTGTAAGAAAGCATTCGATAACGCAAAAATGCTTCCTACTTTGAGGTACTGTTTACTCAGGCTTACTCTCGATTTTCGGCCAAAAATGACTGAAAAATTGATATTCTGATTTTATGCATGCATGTTAGAGGCACCCGCATACTTGATCATTATAAGAAACCAATATTTAAGCATTACCTGGAGAAGAGAGGCCGTTTGTCCAACTCCTAGTTTTCAGATGGCTGAAACAGCGTAAGAAACTTTGAAACAAATAATTTTGCGGTTTGATTTCCTCTTTTAGTTTAGACCCTTCGTGCTTGCAAACTTATTCAGTAATCGATTGGCAAATGCCGATTGGAAAAGGTCGAGGTTGTTTGTCTTATCGAAACCGAACAGTACAATCAAAGCTTTGTCTCAGAAAACAAATATGGTTGACATGCCTGATAACCCAGTACCCAGATACGATGGCGCTTCGCTCAGTAGTGGCAATGTGTGATGAGCTGTCTAGCCGAATGCTCAGATGTTTATCCATGTAATATTGTCTAAGATTTCCGGTTAGCAAGATATAATTCCGCTGAATGGGTCGATGTTTCCGGTTTTCGTCTGGGGATAGGTTTAACAACGGGTAGCCATTCCTTGCGCATGAACACTAATGTCCATTACTCATTCAGTGGATCAATGATCCAGGTGGTCCTAATGGACAAAACTGATGGTCACGCGAATTTCGCTTTTGTGTTCCTTTTTACCTTTCTTACTCTAGCTCACACTAGGAATTCAGGGAAACGGGTATTGCGTCGGAATCAATGGTCCCATGTCTTGAATTCCAAGGTGTATATATATATATTACTAGAATGAAATAGTGTTCCTATGCTTTACACTCGTTTGTTGTGACCAGCTGCTCACATGATCGATAGGTGTTGGGTATAAATTGGGTCACTAAAATCGAGTTTGTTGAATCGGTTGATGGAAGGTTTAGGTTTCTCTTTCACTACCTCTTCTAACGACTCCATGTTTAGTACGACCCTGTGACTACATGACATCCAGATCAGATAGTCTGTTTCTATTAGTAGCGCTCACTTGTTTCTCCAAAGAAGGGCAGTACACTTGACCAGACTCATTGTGGTGTTTCTGTTCACTAAATAGTTCGTACCATACATGCTTATTCTTCGTTTACCGAGTCGTCAGACTGTTCCTCCTGCATGTTATTTTCTCCCATCTTCATAGTAGGTAACTGTTCGCTTTCCCACTCCGAGCGTTTACCGAGTCGTCAGACTGTTCCTCCTGCATGTTATTTTCTCCCATCTTCATAGTAGGTAACTGTTCGCTTTCGCCACTCCGAGGAGCTTGCGACATATCTTTACCTTGCACCCATCTAACGAATTTCAGGTATAGGGTAGTAGAACACAACAGCTATACTGACCTGTACGGTCCTTAGCACGTCGTCTTGCGTAAAGTGACGAGTAAGGAAACTTGCTGGAACGCCGTAGTTGAACCAGTGAATTTTCGCATGGTTGTTGTAGTTCTCAGGATGTATGGTCTTTGTGCTACTATTTGGATCGATGAACTCACCCGTTCGTACGTTAACTGTTACAGAAGTACTGTTTTGGTGCCCCGAATTATTTGGTGACTCCGTAATTGGTTCACGGGACGAAGTTGACCGTGCTATCAACGATTACCTTGTCTCGGAGTCCAGTGCCAACTTGTCCGAAGCAGCCACCCTAATGCTCATTCGTGGTTTGGAAAGTTGCAAGCCTCCACTCATGCCTGACGTTCCAATCTCTGAGCAGCCTACGACCTCCGAATGGCGCGAGAAACGAAAACAGAATTTTGCACGGATTTTAAACAATCTTATTCAAACTCCAGACAATCCAACTTTTCGACGACTACGGGTTGGAAATCAATTGGTTCGTGACCTGATGGCTGTTGAGGGTGCAGAGTTATTTTTCCGTGTAAGTTCAGTGCCTTCGATTTTCAGTTCGCATTTGAACTGGCTCGAAACGTTCCTTTGGTTAATAAGACGTACATCTCACTGATAAACATGTGACCACATGGCCTTGGTATCACGGGGATCTTTCAGGATGATAGCCTGTCCTTAGTATAAACTAAGCCTTTTGTCGCTTCATCAACCTACCACTTCCAACCGAAATAATCTAGCAATAATAATGCTTGTATTTTGTATTGATAAGAGCCTCCTACCTCGAACTGAAGAGCCTTTTTGAAGAAGGCAGTTTGAACTCTTTCAGGGTGGCTCTCCGCTTTGAATGTCGTAGTTCATTTGGACACAAGCCTATCAAAAATGTATTCAAGCCAATCATTTGTCGTTCCTGTTACTAGATGTGAAGATCGGTCAAGAACGTTGCGCATGGTCATAACTTTTCACTGTCGAGTTTGGAGTATTTCAGGACCAGGTGATCTTCAAACAATTTACTGTTTTGGTCTATGTATGATCACGCTAAAGCCTAATTCCACCAAACAAATTGCAAGCAAATGCTAAGGTTGGCAGCTGGCTTCTTATCCATAGTTACTGTAAGGTAGGTGTTTGTTCTTTGGAACTGAAATGTCTTCGAGAAATCTCGTTATTGTATGTTCCAAACCTATTAATGAGTGATGGGGAGTCGGATCCACCATACACGAATTCACGCTCACCAAGGTTACATTGTTGGTTCAGGTGAGCCCAAAAAGTCTTTGTCCTATGATTGCGAACGCTCTTTTAATGCAGCAGAACTCCGGGACTGGTACAACTCATTTCTGAGGCGATTGTGTGGAAACAGGTCAGTTGTGTCGACAGGAGACGTGATGAGTTGCTTTTCGTCAATGGGAGTATACCACCCATTTGTAGGTATGCTTCGATAGGCTTTCACCGGGGGGGGGTGGGCAAGATTTGGAAAGTGGTTAGTACTGTCCTCAGCTTGTTTCACAAGGGACAACTTCCATGCCTGTCAAATAATTTTGAAACTATGTGAAGATTTTTACAAAATGGTTGAGATAGGTGAATGAATTACACACAGTGAAGTCTTCACACAGTCTTTGAAATGTCCGGCTGTTTTTAGCACTGAATTTTATTGAACGGATTTTTCGTTTTCCATTGCTTGTCGGCAATGAGTACATCGTGTTGTGATTTAAAATCGCGTAGTTTCGCACTTACACCGTAAGCAAACTAGAGCTACCGGATAGAATCACATGGTCCAGCTGCAGCGTGGGCTTTTGTTGTTGCAATTTCGGTCCCAGCTGCAGCTACGCAACACTGGTCATTACATCAATCCACCTGTGAACGAAGCTGTCGCGCTACTCTCGAAGTTTCTGCCAGTCCTAGATGCATAATTATCAGGCTCACTTCCTGGGTGTCTGCTATGATGAGCACCTCACTTTTATTGTATGCCCTGTCACTGCTAAATCTGAATTTAGCGGTACGCTGGGTGGCAATGGGACGACCTTCTTGTTTATGACACCTTATCAACAATGTAGAGATAATGCGGTGGCCGTTCAAATGCTGTTTTGATATACCGCTCGTTTCGGTACGGAAGCTTCATTTACCAATGTTTGGCCGGAGATGGAACGGTGGCAAGCGGTTGTCTTTGGAGATTACGCGGTACCAAATACTAAATAGTATTGGTGATAATAATTATTCAGCTGCGATGCCTTCTCGCTCTCTGACTGCCATGCCATTCAACAGAAGTGCGGGACTGAGATAGTGCCAAGTTGCCCAAGGCTGGACAGGTTCGAACCACGACCTTCCAGTAATTAAGTTCGCTGCTTAACCACTGAACTATGTCGAAATATATCTTTTTGAGTGAAATTTGCGCACAATCATAACTTTAGATTTAACCGGGATCAACAGCAGCAACCCAAAAACACAGAAATGGTCAAGTGAAAGAGAACAAGCTCACGTGTGACCAACGACGTTTCTGTGTGATCCTGGGCGATATAGTCAGAAGCCTAAAGACACCCACAGAGATGTTTGAATGTTGGTAAGCAAATCGAACTCCTGGACACGTTTGGAAGCCTCAGTGGACTGTTGGTCACAGATAAAGCACCGCGCTTTCCAACTGGATACCTACCCGCACTGCATTCTGCCTTGTACGGGGGGACGACTTGTCTGTTTATACTCTGTTCTTTATGACCAAGCTGTGTCTTATTCGGATTGTAACCTGACTTGAACGCTGTATATGGAGTACGTGATCTGAAATGTATCAAGTAACCGCCCAGAGCTGCAGCCACCATGACTTTAAATGATACCGCTCTTGTGTACTCTATTTCATCCCGTCCGCTTGTCAACTGTTGCGGACCCGACACATAAATAATCAGTACGATGTGCACGCTACCTTGTTTCACTGTCTCGGAATGCTCTGTTGAGTACTATCGCCCCCCACCTCCCACGTTTTCGTCAGCATCCTTTACTATTCCACTGCCCCCTTCCCCGAATTTCAAATATACCCACCAGTGGAGGGTAGTATTACCCTTGTTGGAAAGAAATCAAGAAATGTGTGCTGATAAGCACTTGTCTTCTGTTTACCCTTAGACCAACAGTCATCATTCACTAGCGTTTTATCTGAATGTCAGTCACCATATGCAACGAGTACGTATTTTTTAAAACAGCGTCAGCTCCCAGTAGATTGGCTGATTCCAAACTTTCGTCGCTCACATTACGCTCACTGTTGTAAAACGATTATTTCACATAGACGCATAGACGCTATCGAAGTCTGTCATTCCCCTGTCGAAAGGTCTGTTTGTACCAAAGATGTATCTTGTTTCCTAAAAGTGAGTGCATCAGGCTGCAGTCATGGAAATGACGCTTATTGTGTTTAATTTCCTAGTGGTTGAGGCTGGAGCATAAAGGTTTGGCTTCTGCCAGTTATCCTCGTTCGTATGCCAATTTGGTTTTCTCGGGAAATTCACCTAAGCCCTCGCTAAATATCTCGTTTATTCTCGCATTCTTAAACGATCGCCTTATGTTTCAGTTGGTACGATATTCAAGGTATCACAATATATTATCCTCAAAGAAACTACTCCAGGCTATTGAAGGGTTTTCAGCAACCATACGAGTAGTTTCTTTCATGACAGGTGTACTGTCAGATTCTGTCAAGATTCTTGTATGCTGTTTAGAACCTTATGACACTTACCAGCAGTTGCTTCTCGCACAATCACCTTTTTTCAGAAAACTTCAAGTCGTCATGCCTTGCTCATTGTATGTCATCAGGTCATCAGACACTTGAAGAGGTGGTTTTTTATTATTATTTGAAGCCTGTACCCCTAGACAATGTATATTCTTGCAACCAGATTCGTGACCGAGGACCAGCTTCAGTGAGTATAAGTGGCCTGTCCAGTTTTCGCTGCTTGATCGACACTGGTGGTTGCACTAATCTGTGAAAATACCGACACCAGACACAATTCATGGGTAAGCTATTGGTTGTCCGAACTGAGCTTCTCAAACTGCGGTCGACTTCATCGAAGTGGTTTTCCTCTTGGGAGTTCTATCCACGCTTAGAAGGACGTTCTGACTCATGGAAGCGTTAGGCATATGTCGAAGGTGACATTAGAGATGCTTGCGGGAAGTTCTACTGCTCCTTTGACACACTATTGTTATTTACCTGTTTCACTTACGACGAACAAACGTTTTAAGGAACCTAGTTTTCTTTCGATAAGTGAGTGTTCCGATAGTAAAGTTAGCGTTGTTTAGATAATTAGCCTTGATTAAGTCGGTTTTCATAGTGTTGACTGACCATGACATTTGATTTTGCTGTTCTTACCACTCAGGCCTGCAACTTCACAACACAGTCCCTGCGACCCCCCACATCAGACTCTGCGTCTCCAGCAGAAGAGGAACCATATCTCGTAATAACCGAGGAAGCTGCACGGGAGGCTGAACACCTGCAACGCATGTTGGAGCTGTTAAATACAGCGGAACCTATCATGCCTGAGTTGTACCGTGATACCAAGGTATTTCGTGTAAGTGTTTCAATCTACCTTCGGTCCTCTATCTTTTCATACGGAAGCCTCGGTTTTAGGGCTAGACGGATTGCCAGGATTTACAGCCCGCCGGAGTGCTGGAGGTTATTTCAGGATATCCGAATTCAAGCCAAAGCCATATGGAGAGTCAAGTAACTGAGCAATTTTCAACAACGCGTCAGCTGGACGTCGATTGGTCAGTGCAAACTAATCAACAGTCTAAGACGTTGGTTCGGCCCAATTATATGTAATACTTTAAAGGCCGTGGATATTCAGGGCAATCGAATGTCCCATCAACAAATCTGCAGTACACAAGACCGCCTTGAGAATTGTGTTGAAAATTTTCCTTTTGTTTTCAGAAGTTTTGAGCACTGTATTGTTGCCATCGATGCCAGTTTGTCAACCTAAGTGTTTCTGTCACGAAGTAACCCCGGTCGCCATGTGTTTGAGATAAATGCCAATACGTCCTGAGTGATAGTGGTTCCATCTGTCGCAATTTCAAGTATGTGGAGGCTTACGGACTTCGGGATTTGTAATAATGCCAATGGTGCACACCAGTTCAACGTATCCATTGTTAGTGGGAGTGCAGAGCATAGTTGAAATTTTTGCTGGAGGCGGAGGAGTTTACGTCCATATGTCGAGTTCGATAGCTCTGATCATCCAGTGGTTCAGCCGTGGGTTTTTAAAGACCACCCATCGTATTTCTAGATGTTGGGTTCATTTCCTCTTTTATACGCAGGTAGTTTTCGTTTAATACGATTTTATCCTTTTAATATGTATTACTGACTGTCCAGCTAACCGGATTTTGCCTATATATCCTCGCTTCTCACAGGTGTCCGGCACCACTCCAGCCATCCTAAGTCGTGACCACTTGCCGGACGATTTTTTCTATCAGACCAAAGAAGAGGCGAAGCGTTCCTTGGAGCAACAGCAACGCATAATTGAAGAGAGTGGCATGCTTATGACCAAGGCTATGCGTGAGCGACTCAGAGTGCAGGAAGTTCGACTTTTTCGGTACGCACTGATTCGTGTGCGTTTTCCGGGGAATATAATGATACAGGTCAGTGTGGGATGATCACCCATTCTTCTAAACCTACTCAAATCCTCTTTTTGCTTCTAATTATGTGAGATCTCCGCACTTTAGGTAGTGTTCACCCTAAGCTTTCCCTATATAAGGAGAAATGCTTTGCAAACAGCTGTTATAACTTCGAACGTGGGTCATATGCGCGAACCAGTACCGTCAAATCAGTTTGTTTCAATCCACCTTGCATCTTCTACTGCACATCGAAGCATCATATACCACCGGCTGTATCCGCATTTTTTATGCAAAGAAACTCGTGGTTTACAGTCATTTCACTCACCCATAGGTAGTCGCAACCCCTCGGTTCTTGATCCTGGCCTCTAGTCAGCCAAATCGCGAGAGAACGGTGCGGCGGATTATCGTTTCACTTCTAATCGTAGTGAGGCAGTCAGTTACGACTCAAATGTGTATGTAGTCTTTGGGCTTCAGACCAAATTTTCGGATTCTAAGAACTAGTCGGGTCTCGTGCTGTGAGTTATGATGACAGATCGTAATGCAAACTTGACTCCGTTTTGGAGGAAGAGCTACGAGACTGGTTTGTGCTTATAGGAAAGTATCGATAACCAACAACACATCGGGACTCATGGTACCTGTTCTGCTACTGATTGGTATACACTGCGAATAAACCGTGGCCTATTTATCTTTTATCTCAATTGTGTTTCGTGGCTGCACAGCGCGTAGTACGGATTCGGGCCGATAGTAATACTTGTCGTGAGCTTGAAATAATTTTCGTGTTTTGCCCGTGCACCCTTTCCTCAAGCATCTCGCGCTTTATTCGAACGTATACTGACGTGCACTTTTTGTCCTTAGGCTAGCTGTAAGGATTGAGTGTAACTCATTTTATTTATCTAATGTCCGCTGGTTGATTTGTTCCACCTCTTTGATCATTATTTCTGAGTCACCATCTAATCCCAAACTGTTGTGTATAGTACTTATCTTGTGAATGTATTAGAACTACGCGCTTTCGTTGGCTTGACCGGAATGTTCTGTATTTCTTTGTCTAAACATGGCACGACGAGTGTGTATGCTTTTGTCTTACAGATTCGCAAACGACGAAACGAGTCTTAATTTATAGCAATCCAGCGCCAGTATATGTTACTTGTCTATTACTGTCAGTGATGACGATTGCCTTGATTGTCTCGCTACCCTTTCCCGATCAGGGTACATTTTGCGCAAGTGACACTCTTGGAAAATTACGCTCATGGATCACAGACTGTTTGGCTGACCCAACCACTGAGTACCAGTTGTGGGCACCTCCAGGCACCGTATCCGCCATACGATCAAACGTTCCACCGACCGCTCGGGCCGAACTGACAAACAACGCAGCAACCTTGACCGAGTTGGGTCTCGCCCCCTGTAGCGTTCTCAATTTATCGGTGTCTTCGTCTTCGGCCACGTCAACCCAACTACCCGAGTTATTGCGTGAAGATTTGTTATCTAATGCGTCTACTCTTTAATGAGGACGTTTACCGTAACGGGCGCCTTTCCAACTGTCTGTCTCTGGGTATATCTCAATGTATCCTTATAATTCTCTTGCCTGTATATGGCAATACTGTGATATTATTGAATTGGCGAATGTTTCACTTGTGCTGACCATTTTTCCAAATGGGGTGCACGAATAAAACAAATCCGATCACTTTATCTACCGGATAGTTGGCTGATTTTATCAGAAGAGAATTCCATTATCCTGCTTCTGGTGGAAAATACAAAAAACAAAATGAACTACAGCATGGGTCGGGCCTTCTACATGTTTTCGTTTGTTTAACGTGTTTCCAGTGAGGATTTCATGTCGTGCAGAAGGGAACTGGTACCGAAGAAATTCATGCAGCATGTGCTTACGGAGATGTACGGATGGGTTTTGAAATGGCACCTGACTGTGTCGTATATGTGAATACTTCAACTAAAACTTGGAATCTTGTTACGCCATACAACATGCGTAGCAGAGAGGCCCGGTTGTGTGCCTCAACTGCGAATTACCACATAAGATCACGTAGTAGCGAGGCAATCAAAACGGCAATTTCGGTTGTCCTGACAGCTCGCTGACAGTGTTTGCCTCTGGTATGTTGCTAGCAGGGATACCGCTTGGAAGCTCTTATCAGTTATAATGTCAGTACTTGCATCGGTCGGACCCGTAAATCTCGATACCATGACATTCTGAGTCGGTGGAGATTGTGTGCTCGAATTTTTCTGCCCCTGATCTCAGCGGTCGTCCTTCGTGAATATTCCGATGGATGACAAATAGCTGGTACATCCAACTCCCATTTGCTTGGTTCAGTAGCTTATATCTTGGACGGCCTTCGCTTGGACGAAAAATTAGGATGTTTATCCAGGAAGTGCAAAATAGGGTGAAATGGAGCGACCTATATGACTAACTTTATTTACTGTGTCTCGCTGACCGTAGTTTCAAGGTGTAGGCTTGGTCTGCTGGTCGCAGAAAGGCTTCCTTCGGGCAGACAATTAGGATCAGATACTAATTTAAAACTCAGAAAGCCACGACCCGTTGGATGTAGTCTCCGGGTTTCTGTGAACCTGCAACCCAAACTGTACGCCAATCGGCTCGCTAGTGGAAGACTCAACTAATGGGCGAAGCCGATCTCAGGCTGTCAAAGTGTCTTGATAAACCTCTTGAGTATTATGTTCCTACTAAAAAAAGTCCACTGCGACATCTCGGGTATCCTACCAACTGATACTTACGACGGACTTCATGCAACACATTCAGTTGATTCAACCAATTTCTCGGTAACACCGACTTGCAAATGAGTGAATTTCGTTCCGTTTTCGTAATTTTGTATAAAGTATTGCGACAAATTGTATCCATTGCGATTTCCAGTTTACCATTGTGATTCTAGTATTTGGTGAACTGATTGGATGCACTGCGTACACGCCCTGCCAGATTTCGGTATGTTTAGAGTTATAAATTCGGTGTGTAAGCCCTATCTCACTTTATATAGTCATAAATTTCGCGTACACTGTGAGATTGTTTTGGCTAGGACCGGAAATATGCCCAAGTGAGACTCCAGCAGCTTACTGACGTGATGATCGGTAGTTTAATTTTCACAGATGGTCATCGATGAGCGGTTTCATTGCATTGAGTTTGCAAAACACTCAGCTTTGCTGCTCGACGGTGGGCTGCTGTCGTTACCCTGATCCTTATTTTAACGTCTGTAATCAAATCGCCCAGTTCAACGAACGGACCAACTACCTCCAGAATCTTCCAATTATTAAACCGGTGGATTATTTCTTAGTAACAGTCCTTTTAATTATTGATTTTATTGGCAAAATCCCTCCAAAACAAATTAAGAAGGGATTCCTTATTCGGGGAGGACAGTCTCGTGGCTTTTCACACAAAATGTTCTCTGAAGGCCGGATGTATGACATGTAGAAGCTCAGCGCTAATTGAAACAACCAAAAGCGTATGTTACCCGATCGTGAGGATCTTAAAAAATCTTAAAAAATCTATCTCTTTCACTCTGACCACCGTCGGAGCAATTGCTGATTGAATTAATGATATACTAGCTAACGATTTGAGTAGACCAAATTGAGAAAAGTCAACAAACCTCTTATTTCTGTGTACAGGTTGCGTTACCTCGTAATGATCGAGGATGAAAGCGAAAGTTTCTTCTAACCCAAGTGACACGAAAGTCGGTACAGTATCTTCTCCAGCAACGGGTGGTCTGTCAGTTGTTATATTCATCATTTTGCACCGATACTTACATCCACTTCCAAATTTTAGAATGATTTGATATTATAGTTTGAAATAATTAGATATCTTGATAGTTATTGCCATGAGACTGGAATTACAGCTCAGTTCGAATGGTGCTTTCCGACTAAGCCTCGAACCACCCATGCCCAACTAGAGCGATGGAGGATTATTCAGTCACAATAATATTGCCAGATGGATAGAACAGTGAAATTATTTTTAAAGTTCTTTTTCATTTCGGGAGGACTTTACTCCTCACCAAGCTAGTGTCGGTATTTGAGCAATCTGTTGTAGAAAAGTTGGGCTCACATTCTCAGTTCGATTTGGTGTCACGTTACTTTAAAAAGATAGCTGTCACTGTTTTCCGGCTCTCTTGTCAATGACACTGTGCGATATTTAATTTGCACGCAGCGTTACGAGTTTTTCATCAATAGTCCTGGGATTCTTTTACTCAGTCGCACTGGTTAAGCCGATGGCAGAGTGCTGTGCATTAGCGAAGTCTTGTTACTGATATCCCTTTCAAGTGCGACTCAGACATCAGGATGTCGTTCCCCATTTTAATGGAGTACTGGCAGTTATCGATGTAGACAACCCTATGTTTACACGTGTCATTCTTGAGGAACCTTGTAGCATAAGTGCATTTTGAGGAATGACTTCCTGTACTGTCGGAGGTGAATGTTCGACCCATTGGCTACTGTCGTGTGTCACCCAGTTCAACAATGTCCCTCTGTTTTATTAAACCGAACACAATTTTATCACATTTTGTTTACAATATTTTGAACATCTTCAGGTCGCTAAGCTGTTAACACACTCTCCATTTTGCTGTTTTCTGCGCATTTGTATTCCACCCAATAGAGTTTTATCCTCATCAACCCAGATTAGGCTGCTTTTTCTCAATCAGTGAGCAAGCAACCAGTTACTGCTGTAATGGTGAGTTGTTTAATATACACCATGCGATGTGGTCTTAATTTGGCACTGTAGCATGTTCGTCTATGGGTGATATTGTTATGTGATCCCGTTGGGACGAACTCATATTTGGATGATCCAGCGCGGCTAGCACTGAGTTTGACGTAAGAGGAAGATTTGTAGTCCGCCATCTCGAACAGGCCGGACGTTGTGGTGGTGTGGCGGTGTGTGCACCTCTGTAGTCTGATCAGGTGTACTATAGGAAACTTATTTAACATCATCAGAGTTACCTCCTACCAAATTGGTCAGCGGATAGAGGTCTGACAAAGTGTCCTGGCCCTCAAGATTCGGATTAGAACAAATGCGGTCATCTGTTCCTTAAAATTAGGGCACCGACCACCGCTACCTTGTTTTCAGGCCTCCAAACCAAAGACTTTGGTTTAGGATCCTAGTCATTATGTTTAGTTTTCGGTGTTCTGACCACAACCATTAACGATAGCGCAACAATTTACGTATAAAATACTTTTATGCCAAATCCATCACGTGGCTACATCTGCCGAATTGCTTTACTCGCTTCATAGAGCAGGGTGGGTGAGCTGGAACACGTGGCTGCTGACACTTCAGTCTTTATTGATTGTTGTCTCTTAGTTCGCGTCTCGTCTCACTTGACAATCATTCTTATGTGGATTTCAGCTGTGAACAGGTTACTCAGACACCTAGAGAGTTGACACTGCACACCGTCACCCAAATCTATCGGTTCATGTATTTTATTTCGACCTCGTCCCCTTGTATTTTATTACGGACTTTAATATGAGAACTCTGAGGCATATCGACCACAGAAAGATCATCTTGTGCACCCGTTAGAGTACGTCGAATAACGTCTGCTGCGTCCACGGAAACTGAATACAAGACGCAAGCGAAGTTACTGAGCTCGCTGCACTCTAGACGCTAATGACTACGAGCCTCGGGTGATTCTGCATCTTCTGGAACGAGTTTACTAGTCTAAGTATAGCCCCCAGTTTGCGAGCCGAAGATCGACCAGATACCTGTAAAAAACTAACGCTGTGCTGTCCGACTTTGTGATGGTCGAAATGCTGAACACTCTATAGTGTCTACTGATGCATGAAAAGACTAGCTCTGATTCATTTCAAAGACAACTCTCGGAAACTTGCCACGTTCTTGTCCACCACGATGAGTTCAGAACTAATCATAACAACAGGAGGTTTCAGTGCTCAGGTCGGGCGCTGTTTTTGTCGGAAACATCCCTTGGTGCTACGTCTAGTCTGGACACAGTGATGATGGTGAACGTCTCTTGCAACTATCTAACCAGTTGCTTCCATGCAGTCCCGGGTTCAGGCGCATTGTTCGTTGTGGTACCCGGCGCCCCTCTACTGCAGTGTTTGAGCCAAACTGACCCTATCGCCGTCAGCTACCGCCGTTCCCATTCACTTCAAACTTCGGAATACACAGACTGATTCAGCTCACGTCCTTGTGTGGTGCGAATTCCCAGTACGCTTCCTCGGTAAACCCTAGAAATCAGCTTCCCATTCAGAAGTAGAGAGGTTTTGAGTCACAGGTTGGGGAAGCATGCCCAAGTCTGCTGTGCACTGCATTGCAAGAGGTCTGGTGGGAGGTTACTGACTGTAAGGGAATCAGATAACCATGGCGACACTCCTCTTTTGGGTGCTTCCAAGCGCGTACGGTAAGCAACTAGCTATCAGAATGGTAATTTCTTGATGCGAGGTGCTTTATTACCATAGATTGACAATTCCTCCCGGCTGGAGATCTAGTAGACGACAGCTCAAATGCTGCTGTTCCACTTGATCCACAAAAGAGGAACTCAAAGACCCTCCGTATGTGAGTTTATCAAAGAAAATATTGGGGACTTGATACATACTAGAGATCAGCGTCAAGATCGCCTACCGGAATATTTCCAATGACAATTAAATTGACACTATTGACCTTTCACTCAGCCCACTAATTCTGAAACGTGGTCCTTGAGTTTAGAGTTCCCATTTGTTTCTGAATTACTGATATACTTTTGTACTTTTGAAGCTCCAACGAGATGCTGGGCCTAAGGAACTCCCTCAGTGTTGTTCAAAGGTGTACGTGGTTGGGGGAATCTTAGAGGTCTTTCTGGGGTAGATTGTACGTTTTCCGGAACAAGAACCTCTTCCAATCGTTTCCAGAAAAGCATCCGAAGTGGTTGCTCTAACCGTAAATGTAGAAGTCTCACGCCGCTGGCAGGTTCTCTGAAATTCCGACTCTTGTCTTCGACACATGAGACCGAATTTTGAGAGGAACAAGCAGAATTTCCACCTGGTGGGGAATAAATGCCGGTCACTGAAGAAAGCTGAGTTCTATTGACAAACCCCTGTGAGTTGCCATAGATGTGTGAAATTCCGACTCTTGTCTTCGACACATGAGACCGAATTTTGAGAGGAACAAGCAGAATTTCCACCTGGTGGGGAATAAATGCCGGTCACTGAAGAAAGCTGAGTTCTATTGACAAACCCCTGTAAGTTGCATCGCATAGATGTGTAATCATTGAGTCCCATTCGGTAGCCGCTCTGAGCTCTTGCAAATTCTTGTCACGAATGGAACTGGTATCCACAGAACTAACCATTTGGAATTCTTGACTCTTGCAACAACTTGGCTCTTTCTACCAAAACCACTGGTGTTGAAACGCTTTGCGGTGAATGCGATTGCCAGCGTTTCCTTTTTTATTAGTGCCTAGTCCTATTTGGTTTTCTGTAAACTGCGACTCCTATGGTCCGTTGGCCTGCTTTCTTGAAGCAGCAGTCCTTCAAAAGCCGGAATGGGTACCCTGGTATTGAATGCTGATTTGGACCATAGTAAGCAAAAGTAGATGCTTCATTAACGGCTTGCTTTATCTGCTTGAATACCCTTTGCTGCGTTAGTATGGGGAAGCGGATAGGTTGCATTAAATCTGCTGGCTTTAGTAAAAAATAAGTTAGCATTACGTTCAGTTATAGGACCGCTCTGGTGTCATTTGGAATGGGCATAATCTGAATTGTATGGATTTTCTGCGAATCTGCGCACACGTTATTTGATGTTAGCAGCTGTCCATAAAAATTAACGGGCTTGGTCTGGTATTCCACTTAATCAGGAGACAGATGCATACCTTGTTCCTTATAGCGGTTGAGAAGCCAGTCTATGTTGTCTTCGTTTTCTTCAGTTTGCCTGAGTATTAGTACGTCGTCAGCAACACAGATAGCTCCTGGAAGTATTTTGAGCGCCTGGATCAACTTTTCTCGGGACACCTCGTTAGGCTTATTCAGCCGGGAAGGGAGAAGTGGCCATCCAAATTGGCCGAAATGAGTACTGGAATAGCTTGATTGGTCAGTTGCCAGAAGCCGACGATAAATCAAACTTCGTGAATAGCTTTGCCAGACAAAAGTCTGGGAGTTTATTGTCTTGCGTGGTGAGTTTATGGTGTTTGCCAAGCTGTATAGAATAGAAATGCTCGGCATCAATCAGGAGTCCCAATTTCCTCAAAACCATTGCTATCCGCCCAATCTGTCGGTTCACAACCTGGCGCCATAATAGACGCTTCAGCTCCTATCGCTACTGGAACCTATCTCATTGGTAATTTTGCTGAAATCAAACTGTCTGATATGGACAATCTGACTTCTGATGAGCAACCAAGTTCAACAGAAGAACTGAGGAGTATTTCTCAACAGTAGTCTCGCGTTGTAAAGTGCAAGCGGAATTGTCATAATTAATGATAGTGAAGTTGAATTCCTTCGTCGCAGATAAACCAAGGATTGACGTCAGATCCTTTATCCTTTATCCTCAAGACTTCTAGGGTATGTTATTCATCCTCAGGATTTTCCGAGTTAGGCGTATCTCTTCGACTCCATTGGATCGTGCGCGGTTCCACATTCGTAGGTTCGATAGCAAAAGGTCTCTGCTGTAACAGCCGGAGATGGCATCCAGCTTAAATCGGCAGTTGGCCTCCGGAAAACAATGACCTTTTCGTCACGGACTCTCAGAATTTTACAATCGCGAATTAAACTTTCTTTCCTGCGGTTCATTTACCTTACCCTGAATACTTCACGAACCTGAGGATTACGCTTGCCGGATCCATGAGGTCTTCTCTGTTATTAACTTAGAGCGCGGTTATGATGGGCAGTGTCCCTTCTACAGTTGCATGCTGAAAATTTGTCACTTAGAGTTCCTTTGTTGCCTTGTCGAAGGCAGTTCTCTTCCAGAATTTCCAATTTTCAGCGAATCTGCGCTTCTCAAAATCAAGTGGAGCTGGTGACAAAGTAGTCATTAGATTCCTTCCAGTCGATGTTAAGTCCACCTCTGACATCATGGCAAGAGAAAACATTTCGTCGACAGATAGGTCTCATTCATCACATTTGACAATGTTTTAATGATTGCGAGGATCTATGATCCACCACTTTCTGATCAGTGGCAAACATTCAGAACTGAAACCAAACACATATTTGCTCGTCTTTTGTGCGTCCATTGCGTAGCAGCTCTGACTTAATCAGTAAATCCTATCAAAGGAATATCTACCATCGAAATTCTACATAGAGGCTAATGATAGACAGCGAGAAGTCTGGAAAAGTTCTGCCTGATTGCTAATCAACATAGTCAGTGAGGGAGTTTTGTGTCATATCAACAAGCCGTTACCTTCGGGTCTATTTAGAAAAGGACTAAAACTAGTAGTCACACTCAGTTCACAGAGCTGCGATTCCTTCCAAATGACTATATGGTCCGCTGCGAGTAGGTGTTTATGGTCTTCGATGTATTCGTAGCACTGCTAGAGTTGATGGCAACATCATGTCAGCGGTGACGAAGTGTTTTCAATGGTTTTGCAGGAATACAGAGGACGTGCTGATGATACTCAGTAAAGTACTCTGGCTTAATAATCTTCTTCGAAGACCAGTGCATCATGGTAGCTTTTTTCACTCGATCAGTAGTGGTGTGGAAACGGACCCAATGGTTAGCAGAAAACGTTGTCGCGTCCACAGCATCCACAGGGAGAGGTCAACGTATCGGTACATCATTGACATAAGCCCTGGAATGGGTGACCCATGTGCGCACTAATTGACATTCTGCTATGTGGTGTTGCCTCCAGCACCGAGCACATATTATGCAACCAATATATCACACGACACAACTATTGTGTGACCAGTCGAATTACGGCACAAGCAGCTATAGACGATGCGTGGCCATCCATCGTCATTCCTCAACTTATCAGTGACTCAGACAGTAGCAGAAAAACCGCACCCCAAATTCGATTTACTACTGAGGGTGCTGATGATGGCACAGTAGTCGTTAATGCTACACATTCAAGTGGACGATACCTCTTCCCGGAACATATCTGTTTTCTTCTGATTTTCCACATGCCCCTCTTATACGCGTTCGCCTGGACAACACTGAAACAGTGCTTTGGTGGTTTATCGATTCAAGCTTGTCAGCCCACCTCAGTCAGAGTTCGGGGATAGTTTCCTATGGTCGGATTGGGCAGCAAGTCTTCAGTATTATCCTTTGACGCATCTTTTTGTTAACTACTCATGTTTGGATATACAGCGTGTACATTTGGTAAGGTCGCCAGGATGTAATTATTACATAGTTATCATCCTTTCTGTGCGGTTATTTCTAACTCACATATAAGTGAGAAGTTTTATGTTTCGGGTTGTATACAGCTTACCTGCTGTCAGATTCAGTGGTAGTTCAGTCTAACTATTGTTCCATCCGGTTCCTGCCCCACGACAAATGTTTGCCGCATTAAATCAGAAGTATTCTACACTGATTTGGTATATCTAGTCCTCTCCGTGGGTCACTTATTTGTTGTGTCAAGTTTAAATACAAAAGTGCAGATTATTACTAGTTTATTCACTGCAGTTGTTTTCGTAGTTCATAGTTTCACTGTACCTTCATCTTACTGCGATTCATCATTGTCCAAAGCACTCCATTTTTCCAACAAGATTCCTCCTGATGGTTGTCCCTGAACGAGAACCATGTGGATGTGCACGTCCGTCACAATCATTGGGCCATTAGTCCCTCCAAAATACAACTGCCCCTTTAGTGCGGCATAGAATGGAAGGAGTATTGTATCTTATTGGAAGTCCCAAATTAGCTGACAGTAAAGGTTGGGCCATAGTTGATGTGAAATGATTCGATACAACCTGGTAAGCATTCGAGAGTGATGAGCGAGGTATTCTGTTTATATTAGGAGTCTTAAATGCAAACCAGCGGTTCTGACAGGTAGTACCTATTCAATGGTTAGTTTGGCGGACCAAATCCATCACTTGTACACTGGAAAGTACTAGGAACAATTTCAGAAGGGCTCTCTGATACCAGTTACTGGCGAATCCATTTTGTACACAGCCGAATCATTCCTTTCAAAGGGATTCACAACTACCAATTGCTATGGCGACCTGTTTTGGGCACATTCCGGGATCAGCAAAGTAGGAAAAAACAAAACAGAACGTGACACATATACAAAGAAAACCAGCTACTACCTCTTTCGGAATAAAACTTGCTGGTTTCTCTAACATGTACGAACACACAAGTTACATGAGCTGGCACGCATAGTTCGGAAGGTACGAGTGCGCTCTCATATTGATTGCTCCGTTCGTTTCAGGTAGTTACAAAACGAAATTAAGAAGAACAGAGAAAGAAATAGTTTCTACGAAGAGCTACAACAAAAGTTGGATTTATGTACAAATAGAGCTAATTGAAATTGATCAATCTAGTTGTGAGGCTCACTGATATCTAAGGAGAACGGAAGTTGCATTCATGGTTAATTCATACGTTTTAGGAAAATAAGATTGTGCGTATCCTCGCAATCGAATAGAAACTATTGAGTCGTTCGTTGACGGATCTTCCTCTTGCATATGTGTCTAACTGGCACTGCTGGTCTGTGTGTTCAACTCTAGTTAAAAGGCGTGCTACATTTTAAATTACAGTCAAGTTCGTTTGAGCCACGCGGTTCGGTGACATGCTGGTGCCCGCGTTAGGTCCAGGGGTGTAGAGTGTGTTCGACCGAGGAACGTTCGGTTTGTGGATCTGGGTAGCTTGGGCCCGTGGTCGATGAAATCTCTTCGTTCGACTGATCCGGCGTTGGACAAGAAGATCCAAAAATTTTTCTGATCGACTTATGTGACCCACGACCTCGCTGCATGTAAGACCTTCAACCAATCGGTCGTTTACCTGTGGAATAATAAGCGATTTTCTGCGTTTATTGTCGGAAGAGAACATATACTCCAAGGGCATTAGCCATTATTCTTGTCAAAAACATACCTTTTTGCACATTGAAGGCAGTGTAGCGAGATAAACTCCCAATGAAGATGTACAGAAAATTCTTGGAGAAACGTCAGCTGAATTCCCAGCAGCCTTTTATTGTTCAAAACATCCTCAGAAAACAGCAATGGGAAGCATTCACTATCCTACTTGCATTTTAGTATTGAATCCTTCAGCCCCACGTAAACCAGGTAAGCAATGAAATCAGAAGGCAGCTATTAGAGCATTCAAAACCGAGAGCTGGAATATGGTGAGTTTCAGACATTTTGGTCCATGTGCTTCCCATGGTGGTAGATGCCAGTAAGGCAACTTTTGCAGTCTTTAAACAAGTATTTGCTGCTCTTAAATATCTAATATTTGTGTCCCGCAAATATCTATACAGGTAATAGCACTCAGAGTCTCAGTATGCATTCACAAATCTCGCGTGACTGCCAACCTACCGTCAGATCTTCACAAACAGTCGACAGTCCGCTGCGCAAACAAGTTTGATTCAGTTCACGGTCACATCCTTGAAGTGGTGCCATTGTAAACATCAGGGTGATTCAACCTTCCCTAGCAGCTCAAGTGATATTCGTACATCTGTATTCATTACATAGACCAATTGTCTATAATAATTGTCCGGTAGCTGTCACCCTCATGGTTCAGGCCTGTATATTATTCGGGTTGTACGAAACTACTTACGTGTCTATAGTAGGTTAACTATATTTGCGATGTTTCACTTCCATAGATCGGTGGCTATCCACCTTAGGCATTGCGCGATGTTGATGCTTACGGCAAAACGAGTTGCGATTTACACTTCGTCGAGATGTTTTTGTTTATTTTTCCTCATACAATTTGTGGCAAATTAAGCGGGGATGTAGGTAGTTTGGCCCCAGTTACCTTTCGCACTGACACTTCCCATCTTTTTCCTGTGAAGCTGACATCACGGCCACACTGCTTGTTCACCTGAGACTAAGAGAGCAATGTTTGTATTGTCATACCTTGGCCTGAAAATGAAAATAACGGTTTGACTTTAGTAAAAACTCACCATCAGAATTCGGTCATACAAGTGCAGCTGACCTGATCTGTCTGCAGAGGAATTGGGACGAATCGCACTGACGAATATACCTCTCGTGGATATGCCTTCAGATACACCGATACCGTATGAATCATTGGGTGAAGCCTTGGTGAGACGTATCCAAGTGCACCAAATGCCACGTTCCTCGGTTCGGATTTTGCAAGTCGCCGGGGCACTGTTGTCAGAAGGTTCGCCAGCGGATCTGATGATTTTCTGCCCTGTGAACCTCTCATCCAGGTTGACTGTATGTTGCGTCGACTGAGGTTCGACAGATGAGCCTTCTAAGTTGAAAAAAGCCCCTGTGCCTTCAAAGTTCCCCGGCTGATGTTGCCTGAAATTTTTTAAACAATTAACGCTTATCTGAAAGTCTCCTGGTGAAAACTGCCGTTGGTAAATTGAAAGTATGACGACTGCCTAACTCCTGTCATTCATAAGGCTGTAAGTCATGCAATTGCAATCCTGCCTGGAGATACCACAGATCACGTATTCGAGAGGTGGGTTCTTCTGAGGATAACCGGAAAAACATAAATTTAAGAGGTGATCGTACTTCTCTTATTCGCGTACCACTCTCGTCGGATAACCTACAATCTGCATTATGTCATATAACTACAACTTCAAGCCTAAGTATCATTACGGGTGTTGGTAACTTTTCCCCTTTTAAACTGCCTCTTTTGATGCCCATTCATTAGTTTTAGGATCATCCGCTTGGCCTAGAAGATCTAGTCGGCCATCGATTCCCTGTTGAAAAATCTATGCGCTCAGAAGAATAGTCCTTCTGATGACAGCAAATCTCACAGTGTCTAGGAAGCATAGTGAATTAATAAGGCTTGTTTCGCCAAGTAAGAGCTGCGGGGGATCCTGGAGCGCATCAGCCCCTGAGCGTTGAATTCATCCGATGGTGGTTTGTGTAAGCAACTCCGCAGTAAATATCCGATTAGGTTCGGACTCCATTGCTTGACATCCATCGTGTCTTCTATGAGGATAGATTAGTAGACACATAGACCAAATAGTTATTCACAAACAGTCGAATTCTTCGTTAGTTTTCTCTCCTAATTAAGAGTAAGCCTTATAACCTCTCCTCAAGGTTCACATGGTTCCGATCGTCATTTAAGGGTGATTTTTTAGTTTGAATTTCTTTCCGGCTTAGAACTCCCTGAGTATGAAGGTGTTCCAGTTCTGCCATCGTTACTCTGGCACACACTGTGGGATCACTACATAAATCTAAACATACGAACTCTCCAAAGTTGTGAAAATTATTGGTATATGGCATTATTTGAGTAATTTGATGTACTGATTTCCTGCAATAAGGGACAGTATCGCTTGCACAGTTACATCACCAAGTTGTGTAGCACTGCATTAATACCTGTGGAAAAGAGAGGACAGCTGTGCCTCGATGTTTGCCAGATGACAGCCTGTCTTCCTTAGCTTTTGGTTTACTGATCTATTTCAGGCAATCAGGGGTGGTTGAACAGACATTATTACTTAATCCAGTCATGCAAAGCTAAATTTACGGACAGCTTTCAAACCAATTGTTGTCATGGAAGCCCAGTGGCGATCGGGTACGGAAAGGGAGAAGAATCTCAAGTGTTGCATGAGTCATCCAGAAAGTTGTTATTGGAACGGCTGTTAATATGTGTACACATGATGTGAATCCCCTGACCGAAGAATGAGTGCCAAATCCGTCGACTGTACTTAACCAAAAACAGACATGATCGCATAGCAACAATTGAAGTGATGATATTTTCTATCAATGCCGATGTGAACTTCGAAAATTCAATCACAAAGTAATCCATGATAAATGGGTTTCTCCACAGTCCTCAGGGACTGGTCAAATTGTCCCTACCTAAATTTCCTCTCTCCTCAGGATGCCAAATTTATGGGTTCGCGTATCACCCCGATTTGTTGCTTACAGTGTGTACTTGGGAGAGCCTGTGTGGTACAAATAATATTTGCTATTGACCCCTCATTTGGTGACCATACTTCACCGACATAGCAAAAGGTATTGTGAAGCAACTTCCAGTTAGGAAGCAAGTTGAAAAGACTGGACAAAGAATAATTCTCTTAGACTGGTCTCGAATCCTTAACCCTACTGCTTATTATGATTGGCACTCAATTGAGTATTGCGTTTACTCTCTCTTGGAAACCCATTACCCCTGTCATTAGATTTGCTGTGTCGCGTATATGACGTTTGATGGACCGTTTGGAGATTTTCTTGAGTTCTGTTTTGGAAAACTACACAGGACGTGACACATGGCGCTTGTTTGCGTTTGTACCTTGTTAGATAAACTGAGATACATCCTGATGCAGTTTTTTTACATTCTAAATAAACAAATTCACGGACGCTTTCCAGAATGACCCGCACAAATACCCACTGTTTATCTAAGTCGATAGAAACTTTCGTGCGCTATGCCGACTTGTCAAGTGCTACCTTCAACAGTCAGGTTTTACGGGCACATAGGACAACAAGTCATCTGGCTGATGAGTGAATGTAAGACCGGACACGCACATACACGCATACATGTATCCAACTGACGACAAACCGATTGCTTTGTAGCGAGACAGGCGGATGCAACAACCGGGTAATACGGCACGCCGTGGAAATTCCTTACCTATTCGCGCTTGTAGGGACACCAGCGACGGTACACAGTCGGACGCGTGGTGAAGCTGGTGGGGATTTGACGATTTCTCTGCGTTTGTGTGTGTGTGTTCGATTTTCTGTCCAACAGGAATGTGAACCTTTTAGTCGATGGATTTTTCAGTAGCCTAACATTTGGTGGAATTTTTTTCGCTTTCGTTCGATTAAACATGTCGGTCTGGTCATCTTGGCTTGGCATCTCCCACTGGTCACGTGATTTTGAGATAGCTTTCCAGGAATCGCAGTTAGGTTTCATACTGCTTATTTTCATGTATAATGTTTTAACGTTGGTAAGAGAAGTTATCAATGAAATAGGGTAGATGCTTGTTCTTTCCATACGCATTAGTATCCCTTTGGAAAACACCGTAGATAATGTTACCTACCCGTTTGAAGTGTTTAAATTCTTCAACTTAATGCCCTGTCCCTCAGTTCGTTACTTGATGAAGTATTTTGAGGATGAAATTTGTTTTATTGATGAAACTTTATTTTCACTGGGTTCGTTGAGTCGAGAAGAAGGTTAATCTCGTGATCAGGCCTTTGATGAATTAATGTAACATTGTTACTCTTCCTAATGTGGTTGGATGTTCGAATTCGTACTTGCTCATCCCTAGTTAACACTCTGCTATCCACAAGAAAGTAGAGTTTAGATCATAGAAGTCATCTGTTCGCCTAAATATTCCTAAGAGATTAAGTGGAAATCTGAAGCAAGAAACTGAAGAGTTAGCAAGCCAGTCTCATGTTATAGCTTATGAAATAAAAATTATTTTTCGACAGGAGACTTTGTGGTAATTAGCGTCAGTTACGCTGACCTTCGTCGGTTTTCATTTCCACTTCCAGCTCCATCGTTTTGCCTCCCTCCGACGGCAACACAGCAGATGTACCTGTGACTCTTTCGCTCTTGTCATTCTTTCTTCACTGTAGGACTTTCCGAAGATTGATGGGTAAACATTGATTCACTTGATAGTGTGGTTGGCAAAGAGGATTTACATACTCTAATGAACCTAGAGGATCAAGACGGTTCGAACTCGTCCGCCATTCCTCGTGACAAAATAATGCCTTGTGTTAGTTCTTTATTCACATAAATAGTCGGCTCACTCTTTTTTGGTCAGTATATGTGTTCATACCACAGCTATAGCATCTCCGTTGGGAGACAGGCTGTACTGGTAAAATGTCTGTAGTCTTCTATTGTGAGTGCCTTTTCTTCTTCCTCCTTAAATCATCAGGAACCCGTCAAACCTTAGTCCGTTCTTCCTTAAGTCCTTTAAACAAGCATGTGATGAGCCGTATAACCTAAATCACATGTAATCGTCCACCTTGACTTCATAAAATGTTCATTCCGTTTACCTCTGACAGAAGGTTTCAAACATTTGACCTGGTTGTGTTTAGTCCAGAAGGATGAGGTTGTGAGATTCGAAAGAGGAAGTACACAAAGCTTTCAAACTACCACCCACCTGTCATATTGGTCGGAAGGAATGGACTGACGACCAGAAGACTTCGGCCTGCTACCTGAATGCCTATGCTGAGAAAGCACTTGTTTTTCAGCTAGTCGAACGTCGATAGCTGTCGGTTTGAGCCTCATTCTGGCTGGTTTTGGGGTTGGAATGGTTGTACTTGGCTGTTCTGTTGCAACGTCCAGATTTCCTGCCAAATTAATTCTGCTGTCTGATTTGGAATGTCGTGTTATCGGAACGATATCTGAAGCGTACCAGTATGGCGGACCCGCTTTGATGTTTAATTCTTGTTCGGGACAAAAGAATGTTGCTTTTGGCGGATCCGGGTTTGTGGCTTCGGAAGGTTTGGTCTGCAGGTCGACCGATCTTCGGGACTGCCCTGACGTGCTATCGAGATTCGAGGGTGGGGCACTAAAAAGAACAAACGTTATAAGGAATCATGTCATTTTCTGGTAAATCCTCACAATTGCACTAAATTATGGTGACGGCTTTTATTCTTTACCTGAAATATTTTATTAAAGTAAAAAAAACTGTCTTAATCAAATTTCCAATTTATCAAACAGATATTGTTTTGGAGACTGGCGCACTGGACAATCGGATTTAACGACAATTCTCCTGAGTTTAGTCTGGATAGGTCCAAAACTACAATTAAGCTACTGGGTTTTTCGCTTTGTAGGTTCAACCCGTCATTCGGTTTCATGGGAGCTGGAAAACGGTCTTGTACGACCAGTCACGTTAAGTATTTGGACGAATCCAAGAGCCGAACTTCAATTACGGTGTGAGGAGTTCACGGTAGGTTGTTAATGAAGATGTCAGGTAGCGCGTGCGACCAGGTATGGATCCGTCTCATTGTTGTTAGCTCCATGCGTATAGTTCAGTCGTTTAAGTGCATCTTATTGGACAGCAGTGTTCCTTGAGGAATGTGATATATTGCACGGACGCACATGTTCGAAAAGGAAATCGCTGTTCGATGAAATGGAAGATCTGGTTGTTAGATTGTTGACAACCAGCTCGGAGTTCCAATTGATTAATGAACTACACCGAAATGAGTTTATCAGTAAATTTCCAAGTCAAACGTGGGGTCGGGAAGGAATTTGGTCAATGAGTTGCTGTTTCATAGTGAAGAAAGACAGTGATATAAATGAGGTCTACCAACCGAAAACACCGGGCATTTTGATAAACAAAATAACCAGTCCCAGTGAATTGATGACAGGGATTGGGGGTGCTGTCAAAGCAAATAGTCAGAGGTGGTCATTGTAGTTTACTCCAGGCTGTTCTTCGTTATAAGAGTATCTTGTAAGAGAAAGAGTTTGGGCATGGGAATACAGGTACTTTCTGACCTTTGAGGTTGGGCCAGGTGTCATTGAGCTTCTCGTGACCAAGCCGGACCAGTGGTCAAACAGTCTTATACATTCATAATCATACTGAATTTTGTGGGAATGGCTGCGGATATGATTCAGATTTCGTGTGCGGGCATATCGTTTTTTACTCTTTTAAACTAAAACCAACTTCTCAAAATTGTCATATTTCACATTGGGCTCTAATACTTTATGGTTCGCACACTCCCAGTCCCGTCCGGCTTTGTATTCTGCAAACCTGCAAGCTCGCATGAAAGCAAAAAGCAAGGGCGGACCAGTGAGGTTAAGAGACAGAAACAAGCAGAGATACACGGAAGCTTTATTCTGAACGAGAAGATTTTTCGTTAAATTGCTGCCGAGATGGATCAGTAGCGTATCTATCGTTCTACCGCGAAGTCCAAGGGGACACACTATCGGCGGATTGGAAATTCCGAAGCCCACATTCATTTGACGGTCTAAACTACCAGAAAAGCAGACAGCGACTGCTGTTGAAGTTTTCACTATGATTTCTCATATTTTTACTTCCAAAGTATGAAATAAAGGGTTCCTCTATCAGGTAATCGGTGCACACGCGTCCTTGATGAAGCCCTTACCCAAATGAACTCAGGCGCAAGCCAACCTTGAATTTCGGGGCCAATATATGGCCTGCTCAATCCCAAAAATATCACATAGCCGCCCTTACTTTCTAAAGGCCAGCTAAGCTTAAATATACATAATTTTAGTGACCTGTGCAGTTGTGTATTGCCAGTAAGTATTGCGAATTCTCATTCATATCGTCAGGTTTGATTTCTTGTGGTTTTCTTGAAACGAGCACACACCAACAAGTCTTACCTCCTCTGTTGGGACTGGGGTCTCCTCCTTAGATGGCGATGTGAAAATTGTTCACCATGTCTCCGACCGCGAAGTCTGGATTGGATCCGCTGCTGTCGGAGTTCATTTATTATGGCTTCCCGACACCCAGGACACTGGATATTGAATAAATCTATTTCACTGTAATCTGTATAGGCTGGATAGAACTCTGGATGATCCAAAACGTAGGCAGTTCCATCTTCCTCATTGGTTTCACTTTCAAAAGAAAGGCCATCTCCTGGCTCAGTACACATCCATTCGCCAAAATTCTGAGATTCCGAGTGACAAACTCCGGAAGATTTGGCACTTGGTCTAGGACTCAATTTTGCCACACTTTGCCTGCTCTGAGCATCCAGTTTTCTGAAATGTTCGTGGCTTTTCGAACGCCCGTTAGATTCACCTAATCAAATAAAATCATTCACCATAAGTCTTTGTCATAAACAAGCCTGAATAATATGCACAAACCAGTTAAGCGCTTGATAGAAGAAGGAAAGGACGGCATATACATCGTTGTATATGTGCAGTGATTTCAGTGATAAACGGGCGGGTGTAGAAGCGTTTCTAGAAGGTTTATACGAGTACCGCATTGTGTATATGATATTATAAGCGACCGCAACACCCCTTTGATGCTTAGGTCTCGCGCCATCTGATGGAGATAAGAGAGCTGAGATAGTGCGAGGTCGCTCAAGCCCAGACAATAGCAGTCAAGTTGCCGTGGTTGGGTTCGAACCGTGAACATACCGGTAGGTAAGTTAGTTCCCTAAATACTGAGCTACCTTGGGCTGATTTGCTACAGTAACATAAAATTCGAAGAAAAAGATTCATTTCATATGATGTGAGTATTCATGCAGACCGAGTATTTCCTCGATAAAGGCAAACGAATGGAAGGCATTCCAAGGTTGTTTTACTCCTAAGAAGTGCTTTTGACAGTCTAATCCTCTCAAATGTTGAACCAGCTTCTGCTAGTATTGTCGTGGCCGTTGGAATTTTCACTTCTTCAGAACAGAGGCAACGTTTTCACTGGCCATATTTACGCCAAATCAGTGTTTATTTGAGGAACGTAGGAAATACGACTCTCCTCTTAAAAAGAATGAGTATTAGGGAAAGCGCGCAAATCAGACCAAGGATTTTGTAATGTGCCATAGGTCGTTCAAACTAATCCTTTCTAAATTATTTCACCGATTCTTGTTGTCCATGCAAGCAACAATTTATCAGTATCCTATTCCTGAAATTTCGACAAGAGCGTACGATAATCTGCATGACAGAATACTTTTGAAAGATGTAGACACATTACATGGACTCTTGTTAGAATATTCTTTGCCCTGCTCCTGGCATCTCCGGTCACCAGTCAGTACGACATGGGTAAATGCAATAGTGGGAATCGTATTGATGCAGATCTAAAGCTGAATTTTGATTAAGTTTCTTCATAATCCTAACAGCCACTGTGGGTGACATGGTTGAGATAACTAGAGAGACAGTTAATTGTTTGTGTTTACTGTGTAATCAGACTTGCGTGCTGTAGTGGTAAACCTTTGATTTTACAAGCTAGAAACAGAAATGTTGTTCGGGCTGAGTTGAAGCAAGTGGGCACTTGTTTCAAACAAATAAAACACGCCAGAAAGGTATAGTTCTGACACGGATCCATGTGCATTTGGTATAGAACGACGGTTTACGAAGCTGTATTTCGCTGAACATTTTAGCGTGTACGGGCAACACCCTGGAGAAAGGAGCTTAGGCGTTTCTCCGATGGTTTCTCTGATGGTTTCTCCTCGTATGTTGACGAAACGTTTACAAGCCGTTTGCCAAGCTCGGCGAACAAATCAGCAACCAATGAACATCGGTATAACAAATTTATATCAGTCAAATTAGGAAGCCAGATATTACATAATTTCCTGAGAAACTTTCAACAAGAATCCTGCAGAACATGAGTATTATTCATTCTGCTGTGTATGCAACAAGTATTCATGCACCCATTGAAGATTAAGTAGTTGTTTTAATCATTAAATAAGGCAGATTTGGCCAACGTGACCTACCAAATTGTCTCTGCGGCGCAATGCCAGCTTCTGCTCCGCTGTACGTTCGAAGTCGCGTTGTCGCATTTTCGGATTTTCCTACATCACCCTGTGGTACTGCTCTGACTGAAGTCGATGATTTTGGTCTTGTTCCTTCCAGTCCAAGTGGAATTCCCGGTGTTGTCACCGAAGTGGGTAAAATCTCAGATGCTTTAGTGAATGCCGTCCCAGATCCAACGCTGTTTGTCATGGAGTCAAACGAGCGGCTGAAATTGCTCATTGCAACCACCTGATCAAATAAGTAGTGTGAGGGTAAATTTTGGAGATTCAGAACTACATTACGTTTGTGTAGGGGATAACCGCAGGCGCATTAGCTAACACCATCAAGAGAATCACTGAGACTTCATAATTAGTAACAGTAATCAGGAAAAGTGTTCGTGTACTAACTCCTGCGTTGGTTGTTAGTTTGCTGCATTAAAGAGTGGCAAAATGGGGGGATATTGAAATAAGACAGCTTATCATCAGAGTCGGTTTAGTTTAAGGAACTGGAAACAATCATCGAAAAACTCGCTCCGGGGTCCACATCTGTTTGTATGGCTTTCCCATAAAAGTGTAGTGGCGCTGAACACAAATCCAAACAGTTTTACTAGGTGTTTGCCGATCCTCGGTGATATGTAACAATACGAGACGCATACTCATGTACAATTTCTCCTCACTAAACGTTATACGATAACGGGGAATCGTCCACTTACCAGTGTGTTTGCTATTCAGTACTCACAACAGCTTCTGTACCACAGGAAAGGATTTCCAGGAACAATTATCATCTCTTTCATTTCAAGAACAAAGTGAACTGACCATTGGGCCATGTTCTTTATAAAACCTCGAGCCTCCATTCTGATGACGTAGGCTATAAGATTTTTCACGACGAACACACTTCAAATCCAATTTTAACAATTTATAGCATACTGAATAAAAATTTTCGCCCCTACTGAGGCGGCAAATCAAATGATTGTGGCGCACCAGATGAATGCTCCAATACACGTTCTGTCCTGTCTTCAAAATCATCAGTGACAAACCGAAGCTGGAAAAATCGATACTTTTACGGGTTGATAGCGTACGTCAAACTGCGAACTTGATTCCAATCTGTTTAGTCACAGCTTCCTATCACAGCTAGACGTGTTGGAGTCAAATGTTTTATTGCAACGAAGGAAAATTAGTGAGACATAAACAGTTATTCACTGTGGATTAACAATACTATCAACTGACTGCCAATTGAGAAAGAGCGTTGTCTGTTAGAGAAAGGTCTGAATTTTGCGGTAAGCGAAAGGGTGATAAGGGCTGAAGAAATAACTAGCGTTGAATCTGTGTCCCAAAAACTCCCGCCAATGGAGGCGGAGAAGCTACAGGTACAGCTGGTCACAGTCCTTAAGTCCCAGAAGCCAGGAGCTCCAAATATTACACCAGCAGGGAAAAGAGCGTTAAACATCCTAAAACAGGTGGACAACATAGTGATTACAAAGGCTGATAAGGGTAAGGCCATGGTTGTCACGAACAGGAGTGATTATCTACAGAAGGTCAAGCAACACCTAGCTGAGTCTTTACTGGGAGATCGGTAGTGCGAATATTACACCTTTACTGAATAGGAGTTGGCAGATAGTCGCTGTCCGCGATAAAACACATAGGTCAAGTTAACTTTTATCGATTGCACTCCAAAAGTGCACTCCGACCATGGCTTTATGGTCTTCCGAAAATCCATAAACCCGGTGAGACCGATAGTAGACGGAATAGGTTCCCACCGCATGAGCTGGCCAGATTCTTGGCTGACTTTTTGAAACCCCTCACCGGGAAATCTAGTACTTACATTGAGAATCCATATGACTTTGCCAACAAAGTAGTGGGGGGCACTGTTTAACCAGATGACATCCTTGTATGTTTCGATATCAATTCGTTATAAACAAAAGTACCAAGAGGGAACTCTTTAGAAATAGCTAAGTGACTGCTACTAGCAGACACTGTCCTTTCAGAATGGACACAGCTTACGGTGGATGAAATAGTGGGAAGCATAAAAGCATGCCTGAATCTCACCCACTTCGTTTTCGACTCTGTGGTTTGCACTCAAGAAGGTCTAGCAATCGGATCTCCAAAATCCCAGGTTTAGGCAAATATATTTATGGAAGAATTTAAACAGAAGGCCTTAGTCGGGCTTCCCTACCCACCTTAGATATTCTGGCGATACGTAGATGGCACTTTCGTCGCGATGAAACGAAACAAGGTTAATGAGTTTTAAAACTATCTGGATGATCAACTTTAGTATGGAGAAAGAGTCAACCTCGGGTACACTGGCCTTTTTAGACTGCATGACACACAAGGTTGGGGGGAATTAAAGACCACGGTGTATGAGAAGCCAATCGACACTGGGGCAGTTTTCAACTACTCGTCTGCCCATCCGAAGTCGGTATTCGCCAGTATTGCGTCATCAATATTTAGGCACTGAAGAAGCTGATCGGACAGCGGCCCAGATTAAAGTAAAGAACAAACTTCGGGGTAGTGGATATCCAGCTGGCTTGATTAGGTGTCAGTTGCGTAAGGTGTTGGTACCGGTAGCGAAGCCCGACAGGGAATGGATCGGGACCGCTGTACCAGGGAGATCGGATGTCATTCGAAGAAGTCTAAACACTGCTGACATAAGAGTAGCATTCCAAAGGGGGAACACTCTGCGCTCTGCACTGGTGCATTTGAAGGATTGCCTCCCGGCATACACAACCAGGGACTGTGTCTACAAAATTAAGTGTAATGATTGCACCAAGGCATACATAGGACAGACAGCCAGGGAACTACACATCAGAGTCGGAGTGCATAGTAGAAAACTAAACAGGCCGCCGAGAAACGCAGATGAATATCAAGCGTTACTGAAAGACTCGGCAATTGCGGAACACTCACTGGACACGGGACACAAAATAGACTTAGAAAATGTTGAGGTTTTGAGGCGAGGACTACGGTCCACGTCACCCAGACTGGTCGCCAAGGCGGTAGAAATCGCCAAGCATCCCAGCGTTAACAGAATGGAAGACGTGGAACTAGCTAGCTTGTGGAGAACGGTCTTAGGTCACCCGAGCTGGCACGTGTTGGTGTGTGGTCATCAGAATTAAGATTGGTCATCATCTGAAATCCACTTGACCTCAACCCCCCTCAAACTAAATTGTTGAAGCACTCACAAACCCACAAAGACCAATGAAAATCTACCAGTGTCAACCTGAGGTGGAAGGTTAAGAAAACGAACTCGATCAGAATTAGTTTGCAACTCCCCAATCCACCAACGCAAGATTTTGACAATCACACTAAACGACAAGAGCCGTTAGTTGACACTCAACGCTGATCCAGTGTAATAATCTGAAGAGGACTTACTGATTGGTTCTCCTTCTGCCTTATAACCTTGCCAGTTTGGTGACTTGCTCACTTGGCATGATAGAGTTTTTGTGTAGAAAGCGAAACGTTGCCTAAATAAAAAGCTACTGAAATTTTTCCGAACTACTGAACTTTTTCCAACTGATTGGAAATGACACAACATATTTTGTCACTTCACTTACAGTTCGACACTTCCTTGGAGTGGACCTGGTTGGACGAAGAATTTACCAGCTGCAAAAATTGGCCTGTGGTCGAATGGTTTGTAGATCCCCATAACTGCTTGCAGTGGTTAACAAAAGGGTCGAAAGTCTGGTCCCTCTACGCCCATCTGAGGGGTCTCAGCAAAGGCGAAAATTTTGCATGGCTCAGCAATTTGGAATTGGACCATAAGTGTATCTTATGAATCCGCAGATTTTCTGTGGAACTGGTCATCAGCTACTATACCACTCGTCTAAAATCATAGCGCGAACATGTCGAAACTCTCCGCAATTTAGGAATGATCCTGGTTATTGTATTCTGTGCAACGTCCCTTCATCTTCAATGATCCTTTTTGATTGATTCCGTTGACAATCTTTTTAGATGCTTTTACTTTTCAAGATAACGTGTTGTTGGTTAAATGAGTCCCTTTCGTTGGGTACAGGTTAATGAGTTCTAATAGGAGTGAATATTGAGTCTATGGTAGAAAAGTACTGAATCCAAATAGCGAAAACAACACAGAACCTATTAAGTTAGGGTATTTTGAAAGTAGTTTACTAGCGTCCACGAAAAAAAGCTGTTTCATAACATAGACCTTCGCTGGAAAGATTGTAATATGGTTTTATAGAATTGTGCTGAGCCTTCGTCATTCGTGACCAACACTGATGCAGATTTTTGGGAACAAATTCAGAGTCGATCTTCCATGGCATTTCAACCCAGGGTTTCGTTGCTATCATTCAAGAAGACCAAACAAATCCAAGTGCATCCAGGCGAAATTGAGTTATTTCAAGGAGTTATTGTCCCTAGTCTGGTAAGTTCCTAGTTCCTGAAGTTAGAAGTGTTAGCCGAACTCAGCCGAATGGTAGCCTATAGACTTCTTGATTCCAAATCCCAAAGAAGTGCAAACTGGAAGGTTTTGGCCATGTTTAAGACATTACCATGATTCTTTCATCCCACTTCCACGGGCTTAGTTATCATCCAGTAGTATCATAGCCAAAGATGCGCAAGACTAACCTTTTTCAGAGAGATTTTCCTAGTAAGGTCACTTTTCGTTTCCCTTTTTGGTTCAAGTCTATCTGCTGATACATCCGCCGCCCCGTTCCTCTCGTCGTTTGACCCAACTTGTTGTGGACGATTGGGTCGGGCCAGGTGTAGAATAACTCGGTCTGGGTAACGTTGCAGCATGCGCATTGCTTGGGTGAGGGTGTGTCCAGAATTTAATGCACTACCATTGATTGCGAGAATACGGTCTCCGGGATAGAGCAAACCACTCGTTGCTCCAGGGTCACCGGGATTTAACGAGTCTACGAACACGGGGGCATTGGTGGCCTCGTCAGTTCCACATATGGTTATTCCCCAAGGACAGTCGGCGGATTTTCTTTTCAGTACCACACGAACGATGCTGATTCCCTCATCCTGTGATAGATCTGTTAAAAATGCGGTTAAAAACTTCCTACTAAATGGAAGTGGACTCATACTAATAAAAGTTCATAAATCAGAGTATGGCGTGCAGGAATTTTTATTAAGTAAGGCGGAAGCTAAGATCTAAGGTCATTTGAGGGAACTTACATGTAAAATTATTGCATAAAAACATCGAGCACAGCTCGAAACTGAAAAAAATCAGGAAGGTAGCTCACGTGCAAGCACAATCAGGCAAACTTGACAGTGATATACACTCCAGAAGAGCTCATTTGCAATTTATTACTGCTCATTCTCAAAGTCGGACGGAGCCTTTTGGGGATTAGCCTTCTTATAATACGGTAATGACTTGAAATTCTGAGTCTAATAAAAGGAATATGAAATATCAAATTGCGGTAGTACCGATAATAAATCGATGTACTCTGTTAAAATCTTTCTCTCCTGAAATTCGGTTTTGGGTTCAGGAAAACAAGAGTGAACTTTGAAGNGGGGTTCAGGAAAACAAGAGTGCAACTTTGAAGACGCCGATTGCTTTCTAGTGATTTTCATCTGTTGTTAGAAAGCTTACTGTTGGATCGACGAATCCGACGTTTGAACCCTCTGAGATTGGGTATCGTTGATAGTTCAGGATTATTTTTGTCGAATGATCTTAGTCTTTTCCGTCTAAAACGTTGTCAGGGCGTTTATGCTGCCCATGTAAGGGATGTTTACCAATCTTTAAGGTTTATCAGTAAAATTCCACACGGATAAAAAGGCTGCTGTAAAATTAACGTGGGCATGTGCGTTCTCATTACACCTATGCGGGACCTGAACACTCCATTAAGCTGAAACGTGGTTGCCATTTCAGTACATGATAGAAATGATACAATGTAGAAATTTCCAACAATTCATCATCGTCATCGACAGCATCACATCAGTGTTCAAAACCCATGCTTTGCTGCCGTACAACCATGATTTACTTGAGAGCATTAATTGTGAGGAAAAGAATAAAGATGGGCTGGGAAGGGACTTATTGCCAGCTTATAGCAATCACTCCGATGTGCCTACACATCCAAACACCCATTCAGATAATCTGGATAGAAATTGACAACCAGATTATCAATGACATCGGTTGACAGCAATATCCTGCAGCGCCTCCAACCAGGCGCAGTGAGGATCATGAAGCACCCAAATGAGTTTCGAACACCTGAAGGCGTCTCAGGTCCGCTGCTCGAACAAGCTAAGTCTCACAGGCATACAAAAAACACCCTGCACTTTAGCTTGATACACATGTTCCCTGAGATTCAGGGATAAACCACTTTGACACACAACCCAAGCCCTGCACATATGTTCATTGACCCCATCTGTAACACTACAATCAAAACTAGTACAACTCCAGGGGCTCTCCCTAGATTGTAAGTGGCGTGTCCGGTGACTACATGTCCCCGAACATGACCTTACACCTTGTGGGTACCAAAGGACGGGATGACTTTGATCAGTTCACCCAAAACAGCTGCGCCTTCTCTTCCTCCTCGAAGATGAGAAAGACGTCATTTGCGTATTTCATATCGACAAGGATTTCATCGTGGGCTACTTGAACACCAGGTTTGGGAGACCCTGCAGCGTTCGCCTCATGATTTCACCAAACACAAATTTAAACAGGAGTGGGGAAAATAAGCATGCCTGACGGATACGACTTTGTGTACGGAAGATTTTGGAGAGCTCGCCGTATACTCTCACACGTCCGGAAGTCTGGGAATACAAAAAGCTCATTATATTCCCGTAATTCGGGAGCATTCCTTGGTGAGCGAGTGTGTGAAGCAGAACAGACCGGTGAACCGAGTCAAATGCGTCTTTGAAATCCAGGAATCCTAGAATTGTTGGCCGCTTACACGTATGGCGTTGTTTTGGCACCCGACGGAGTGTGGGGATTCGGTCAACGCAACCCCTACCAGGCCAGAATCCCGCTTGCTGCTCTCGAGTTAGTGTTTCAAGAACCACTATAAGGCGGCGAAGCACCAGTGACGACAAGTCTCGTTACGACAGGGCTCAAGCTGATTCCCCACACTCATCACGAGGTCTTTTTTTGAAAATGGGCATTTTCACTGACTTTCCCAATTTGTCTGGGTCAGACTTTTTTCCTAAATGCAAGCAAACAAATCAGACGCGCTGACTGAGGACTTCACCCCCATCTTTGAATAACATGGGTGGTAGGTCATCCGGACCAGAGGCTCGGTGATGCTCAAGAGAATATATGCAGTTGTAAACTTCCGAGGCCGTAAGAAGTTCCACGTTCACCATCCAGGGTTCTGCGTCACCTGTTGGCTCCAGATGGGTGTCAGCCGTTGGCCATGACAACTGTTGTTCGAAGTGTTCGACCCACCGGTCGATGCGCACTTCTTTATTGGAGATGTTCACTCCCGATCCTTGATGGTTTCGCTCACAGGTAGTTTCCGGGGTTTGTTTGCACAAATCAACTTACTCGGCAAAAAATGATCTCTGTTTGTATGCCTTCCTTCCCGTTCGTTGCGTGGTAAATCTATTGCTGCTGGGGTCAGTGTCACTCATCAAGAATTTCGTATATGTTACTCTACCTTAGTTCTTCCTGGGATTCGCACCTCTGTGTTACCCTACCGCAACCGCTTTGATGCGGGATTCACACTCTCTTGAAGCAGCGTTATTTCTCTGTCGCATGTATACTGATACGGATCATCCTGTCGTCTTGGTTTCCATATATTTCTCGTTTGGTCGCCTCACTCTTAAGGTATGTGGCTTCTTTGGAAAGGCAGTGTTCGCAATAGCGAAATCGGGGTACATGACACTTTTAACAGTAAATTAGCACAAACGAACAGTTGCGCACAGCTCATGTATGTAGTTGTGCTCAGTTATGAGTCAGATTCGAAAAATCGGCTACGGAGTTCAACAAAAAACGACACGTTGTGGCTCATCAAGTGGCCATGTACGTTCCCTGGAAGTAGCCGGTAATATGTCATATAAAGGTTGTGATTATCTAGGATCACTTTCGGAATGAGCAGTTATATACTTAAGTTTTCTTAAGTTCGATTCCTCTTCTAGGCTACATTTGCGAAACTTGAACAAGCTGAACTGGTGGATCAAGCTCTCCATGCTACTTGTGAGTAATCTTCGTTTATTTGGGCCCACATAAAGTGGAGAGGGGAACGAAATATCGCGATATGTCTAAAAAGGTGTGCGCTGTGAAGCTTGTTTAGAAGCATTACATTTGAGGCGGTTACAGACGAATGATGAAAATTTCTGATGAAGACCTCTGTTTTACGTTTATTTTATAAACTTTAATAATTGGAAATCAAGATTCAGTGGCTCTTCTTGATACCAATGTTATTATTATTATTTGTTATTTATTTTTGGTTCAGATTTTCATGGTGATTATCAAAATGGATTGGACTGACTCACCTTCTGGACTGCTTATTAATCGCCGCCTTATTTCATCAACATTTGTTTGTGGTTCTTTGGTTTTACTGCATTCATCAAGGGACTTCTTAACAGACTGTTCATTTGAGGATGAGGTAGGTCTTGATCTGGTCGCCGTTTTGACTGTGGGTGTCTGAACTTCATCTTGTCCTGAAGAAGTTGACGGGTCTGTGCCAACTTGTTCAGCCCGGTATATAAAGGGGACTCTTGATCTTCCGGACTTTTGTCGCTGAGAAATGTTAGATTCTTCTGATTCTTTTTCGTGCGAGTGTGATTCTTTTTCACATTTCTGCTTCAGAATCAAATCGCGACAGTGTATTGAAAATGATTTTGTCAGTTCGGATTCCGGTACCGAATCACTTCTTCTATAGCGAATTGCGCGGGTGAATAGAGTCGACGCATCTGGACTGGAACGTACAAGTAGATTTTCGGATCTGGGACTAGGTGGACTAGCACCGATCTTTTGCACTCGTAGGGTAACAATCTCCTCCGTTGGGGACTGGAGTAAACGAATGGCCTCGGATAAAGTGCAAGACGATAATGACACTCCATTAACAGCAAGTAGTATATCTCCCGGATTTATTGATCCACTCCGACTGGCCACGCTGCCTGGGATTACCTTGCTAATAAGCAGGGGTTGACCCTCCTGCTTTTTTATGGATGCTGTGTGGTAAGATGGCAATAAAATACAGTTATTTAGTGGCTGGACCACCTAAACCGATTGCCTGCAACTAGTAAAACAAGTGTCCAAAATGTTGAAAGAGTTCGTGGCCATAGGTCCTGGTAAACGCATCAGCCGACAGACAAGCAAATTACTGAACGGATCGTCATTCCAGATGTTGAGCAAAACCATCGGACTAGTCGAGCCCAAAGATATGCACCTGTTTAACGTGCCCTCGTGAGGTATTACTTACATGCTTCCCTCACATGTCGCACATGCGAAGGTTTCAGTTCAGGTAAGGATAAGGATTAGACTGCTGATGACTCTAAAAAGATCGAGACCTGAGTCCACTGTGAACTAATGGGAATGAGCTTGTGTGTGGGCTGAATAAAACTTATTAAAAACCAGCAAACTAAGAAAACAAGAGCAATCACAGAAACATCTTATTTAGTGCAAAAATCGTAATAAAACTATTCGAAAAGGACATCGTCATGGTAAACTTGAAAATGTGCAAAGCAGTTGATCGCATCATACATAGGGTCGGATAATATGGAGGTTTGCGACTTCCGAGTGCACACTGATAGTTTGAAGGGAACTGCCAAAGCATACAGTTATTTGCCTCTAGTTATCAGTTTGCACAGGGAACTGTTTTCTTAGTTGTCAACAAACATTGGGGTCATTTTTACGTTCTGTTTACGCAGATAGTAGATGTAGTTGGTCAGACAATTTAGCTGATTGGATAACCATGCGACGAAAAATTACTTTAGGGTAGTTACATGGGTGTAGGTTTATTGAATTCGATGAGTGAATTTCATGCTTTTGAATGCGATTCACCCATCTCAGTAATCCAAGTGCAGACATTTCTCACTGTCTCATGATAAGATAAATCGGCTGCGAAGCTCTTATTTACCTATCCTAACTACGGTCTGAAACAAATTCTTCCTGGTAAAATATACGAGGATATATATTAGCCGTTTTCCGACAGGCGACAAAATTCTGTCTGCCTGACGGTTGCGCAAGTGCTCGTTGAGATGTTCGCTGAGCTTTGCAATTAGCTTACACACGTTTCGTTGCAGAAAAGGAGACGGTGTCAATGTGCACTCAAACGCATCTTGGGGATGTCTGCTCGACTGGAGACAAAGCGTTCGCAAGCTAGTTACTGAGGCCAGTCAACTTGTTAACGGTCACTTGATCAACATGAAAAAATATTTTGGGGAAAGTGTAGTCCAATCCGTGCTGAAACTATAGGTTTCAGTGGCATGCCAACATCAACACCACTCGATTCTTGTCGCCTAGTTCAGGATACCTGATGCTGGCTCTGTACCCTTATCATGACCTTTTATAACTCTGTTCTGTTTTCAGGCTGAATGCTATTAGTTCAAGGAAACTCTCACCTGTTACCTGTGAGTAAACCTGAGTAAACCGTTATCGAGTTACATAGCGCTCATTTTTTCGGCCACACTTGCTTATAGAAGTTTAGTCAGTCAGTGGTTCACCTTATGACTTTCTGTCTGGCGTGGGCCAATTAACTGTGATTTAAAATATTCTATCCAACTTATTCAGCCCACACAATGAGACTGTCAGAAATTTTTTTCATTTTTGAGCACTTAAGTGGTTGTTATAGTGAATCTCCACATCACTCAAGGAGGATCTCAGGTTGGGCTATTTTGTTATGAAATCAATACCCGATTTACTCTGGAAACCGGTTCACAACTTGTTCATTGCTGACTCAGGTTTATCAGCTGGATGTGGCTGTATGGATCACATAACGCTAAGTTTAGTGGAATAGAATAATCGGTTAGCTGTTCATAACTGGTCGGATTTCCTGGCCAGTTAAACCCACGGGATGAATCAAGGAATTATGTCAACTTGTTCACCTCAATTAAGCAAGTACCGTAAACAGCCCTGTATTACTGTGATGGTTCGTGACCAACTGCTAACTAATGCCCCAGTTGTTTGATCATGGTCCATCTACATGGGGAGTAACACGAAGACGAAATACGAAGTTAGTTGTTCTCCTGGAACGGCGCATCTTGTCATCAAAACCATAACGCTTATAGCGACATACCTTGAAGATTGATCCCAAGGTTAGCAGCACGGCGGACGAGTTTCACATCAAACACACCCGAACTGGGTACCACCGTATCTGCAACAGAGTATTGGGTCACTAAAGTTAACCTGAGAGATAATCTGGTTTGAGCTGCTTCAGGAGTGAGAAATTCATTAGTCAATTCTTCCACAGTTCGGTTAAGCGTCGAGAGACCGTTAATTGTGATCACACGATCGCCTTCCTGTATGACACCAGACCTGGAAATGAAAAAAGAGTGAGCTGCTACTGTTCGGAAAAGCCTGTAGATATTTTAGAGGTGGAATTATTAGGCACGAATATATCGTCTCAACCCATTCGCATTTTCAGTAACCTGATAAGCAAATAAACTTAGGCTGATAAGTTACTGCTACTACAAATCCTTTCGATTCAAAACTCAAGCATGCAGCATCATTACTGGGCCTACCCAAAACGACAGCGTGAACTGTATTGAAAAGTGAAGGGCTTACGGTGGTTTGATAGATGTCAACTCTTATATCTGCCATATGCCCATTTGGCATGAATAACCTGATTGCTTTCTTCAGAGGTAGACTTATTCGCACCATGCGGACGCCAAGATGATGACAAGGCAACAGTGACATCTGTCAGTATGTACAGAGGACAGATATAATCTGAGTTCCTGGTGTGTCAGATACTTCGGGAGCAAGTAGGTGAAGCAATAGTTTGACACAGAGGTTCTTTGCAAAATGGTCACTGGAATGCTCAGAAGCAAAATCTGGACCTTGTCCAGCATATCTGGCTTTTCTGCAGATATGATCTTCACGCCACCGTCGTAACCCACCACTTGGTAGCAGACCAAAGGATTTGACTGCTTTTTGGATACCGTTTGAGCACAAACGTTCTGTGGTCCGTCAACCTAGTCAAACCATTAAATTCTCTTCTTAGCTAATCGATGAACAGTAAGTTGCGTTGGCGCAAAAGAACTGGAAGTCCTGAACGTTAATTTGTAATAAACTTCAGAATTTTCCTTAAGAAATGCCACATTTGAGATGACAATTTACGGATTTAGATTGCTGTACTACCAATCATCAATTAAAAGTGCCTCAAAGGCTTACTTGTAGGCCGATCCTCCAATATCCACACGGTCCACAACAGGAAACCGGATTAGCTGGGAATCTTGCAGAGAACCCTGACCTGCAGCGCACAGAGTAAACCCATAACCTAACGATTCATCCGGTTCGAGACACACTTCCACCTCTTCACTGCGACATAGTTCCGGCCTGCTGGTCATCAGGGAAGGTAGGGATGCTAAAACGTATTTTCCACAGGGAAGGACGAAATGAACGCGTTAGGGGTATTGACACACATGAATATATAATCTCAGAATTGAGTAGGTTCGAGATAAATTTCAAGCTGACAAACTGGGCGGTGAGCCATTCAGAGTGAGTATGTGAGTGAGTGAAAGGAGTAAGAAGATCAGGGGGGTGTATTTTCAGATGGGCGTTTGGGATAAGGATTGTCCCACTTTTTGTTTTGCAATAGACCTATGAATCCAAGATAAAATAATGGCTGTTTCAGAAGTGTATGAACCTTGAAAAGAATGAATGATTCTAGATGTCGTTACCAACTTCCACCATATTCATGTTTCCCTTTTGAGCTTTATTATTCATTGCTGATGATGAGTGATGTGATAGTGTGAAACCACTCCCACCTTCTGAATGTCACCTGAAAATGTGCGACAGTTTGGCGACCACTGGACACTTGACAGCGAACTTCGCAGTAATAAATGTAACCAATCAAGCCGTTAGTGAAACCAAACGGTCCATGAAGCCTTATAGTTCTTCAGGTTACCAGTAAATATTCCATTTTTGGCTAACCTAGTGGGTTAGCATCAGCGATCATTGTTCTTTAATACTTGGTGAACATACCATGTAACAGATACCGTTGGGACAATCTGGAGCAATCGCATTTGACTGATGCTGGCGTATTTAAGTGATGGCAAGTGTTAATTTATAGCAATGCATGCGGGAAGAGCACCACTGGACACCTGATATACGGGACCTACTTTTCGGAAAATTGCACGCCACGTTCTAAGTGATTAGATGTACAACGCGCTATGTTTAGATCCCTTGTCAGAACTTAACTTGCAGAGGGAAGGTTGAAAAATCTCCACCTAAAAACTGCATGTCGCACATGATGAGTTTCGAGTAGAATTTGGCATTTTAGTTACCTTAAGTTCGATTTGTCTTCAGTTCGTCTGTGATGATCTTGTTTCTACTCTATACGTGGTGCTCTCAGAGTTTCACAGTCCTTCTTTCAAAACTCCTGTATGGTAACTGCTTTTTGATTGGATAGATCTTTCTCATGGATAAACGTGCTGTAGTCGCTAAATGTTGAGTTACTATAAGTGCGACGATTGCGCCCAACGATTATTGTCACACTTTTGAAAGTCCAAAAAATATTGGTACACGCATTCAAAAAGCTCACCGTCGGATATGTCTGGACTAAACTCCATCAGCATATATCCCCTGTCCTGACTACAAACACAAGGTCCAGTTTCTATTGTTTCACTAGGAGTGCGGTACGACTTTGACCGCGAACGACTCCGCTGCGTGGTGGATGGGGGGCTCCAGGTCGGCTGCGAAGAGCGAGGAAACTCGATAGGGCGAGCTGTGTCCAATTGAGGGTGAAGGAAGCAACGGGAAAGAAAAATACGTGATTGGTGGCCTACTTTGCTAGTGCGAAATCAACTTTCGTCTGGTTACCTGCATCTGGAAAACTAGAAAGAACAATTTTTTCTGGTTTGTCGGATCAGATGGATTGGGGAGAACTGGATCCAGAATTCAAAACAGCTTGGCGGAACTTATGTGTCCTGTAAGAAGCCACACTTATTTACATGAAAGTACTGTGCAACAGCATTCTTGAGGGTGAAGCAACACCTAATCCACTGCGAAGCTCATACGGGGAGCTCAATAATGGTGCTCAAGTACACAGACCATCAGTCATTTAGGGAAAGCTGGGGCCGATTTCAGATTACTTTAAGCCAAGCTCTAATGGTGGGCGACTGTAGTTAGGGGAGGTAGGTAGTCTCCAGTTTAAAGTTTGGGGTGCTTTTCCGCTCATCCTTTCTGCAATGCAGCCCAATGTTTCAGGATCCACCGAATCTCCGTCAATTTTCCACAGTTCCACTGCAAACGTTGCTGTGTTACGGGCTACACTGAGTAAAGCAGTTACGATTCAATAGTTCGCTGATTGGTTCTCGCCTTGTGAACACAACAAAAGTGAAAGAACGGAATCCTCCAGCTCATTAGAAGTTTTATTGTTTTCTCCTTACGTCGGCCAGCAACATGGTTAGGCGAAATGGCCATTCATGCAAAGTCAGAACAACACTCATGAAATAGCTGCTGCACAGCGAGTTAACAGAGTGAACCGAACCCTTAAAATGGATTTGTTTGATCTTACCAGGTGAGCTGAAATTTTTATTTTCTAAAGTTACCTGATGGAACGTTCCTTGAGTTCACCTAAAATTTCCTTTCCATCCAACAACATGTATTGGTGGTACATGATGTGTTCACGCAGGACCACAGGTGTTCGTTTAGCCATTCGTTTTATCACGTCAAGTCGCAAATAGCTTGCAGCGTACAAATAAGACAAGACAATGAAATGTCTGATTTTTGTTACTCACATTCTACAGAAGAACGGTAATGCTAGACCGACCTTAAACTCTGCACTGTGTTGATCATCTTCATTGGATGTCACCAGCCAGCGCAGAGCTAAGGTGTGTAAAACTCCAAACTGGGTGTTTTTTATTAATTGCGACAAAAGATCACGCAGATTGTGGGATTTAAAATGGGGATGAGCAAACCTGTACTTGGCTTTGACAGCCGTTCTGGATCACAGATAGCATTTGGAACAATCTGCAGCCGAACTCGGTCCAGTCCATTGTGCTTTAGTCGTCTCATGGCCTCTTGGAGCGTCAAATCCTCAACATGAATATCATCAATTGCTTCCACTCGATCACCGGTAAACAAGGCTCCACATCTGTTCACCCAGAGAAGTGCGAGAGGGAACAGGAGCAAACTTAGTGATATGAATCACGAAGTTAATTTATAAAAACTCAGTCAACATAGAAAACACGAAAACGGAAGGGTACTGACCAGTTTTGTATTGTGATTACAGGCTTCTTTCATACTAAATAATATTTTTCTTTTATTAAGTTGCAGTTGTTGGCCAGAAGGCGTATTTTCAGGGGTTGGCGAAGATTTCAAGAGACGTCTTCAACAAACTTAAACATCTACCTGTCTATCCCACTTTCGAACAACTTACATGACTAGCGAAATACACTCATTTTCGAACTAATTCGCTTTTGCGGGAGACTCACCTGGAACCCAGCCGAATCTCTCGTTTGAGATGTTTCAGTTTGTGATGTTACTTGACCTCTCCACGCAAAAACGACCAGCAGCAAGTGCGTATATTTTTACTGAATTTACACGCAAAAACGCTGGCTGACTAACTGTCCTGCAGGAAACAGCTATGGGAAAGTCTGCAAGTTGGAATTCGCTCGAAATTCGCGGAAAGACAAATTTGTAGGATATATTTTAAAGTGAGTTTGTAGAGGTCACTTATTAAATCACGCGTCACAAACACTAAAACCATGTGACAATTCCTGTCCCACTTGCAACCTTAGCCGACAACAGGTACAGTAAAACTTCCCAACCATTTCCGTTTACGCGGCTACCACTTGCGTCACGCGCCAGGATTATGAACTTCATTGAACACATCAGGTCAAGTTGTATTCATGTTCGTGCAAGTATCAAACACGAAGGGGCACCCCTCTCTCCACAGTGCACACGGTAAATAGGCCTAAAACTAGGCTCAACACACACTCGCGTGCACAGGACAGGAAGTCAACAGAGCTCCGCACGTCTCCGCGGACAACAACGGAACACGTGTAGCAGCTATACTGCAGAGAAGACACTTCCCGCGCCCAGAACTTCACTCGGGAACTCTCAACAAGTGTCCTCAGACGATAAGTCACTTTTTTGGCTTATTTCACTGTTTGCATTGCATCTATTTTTATCGAGTGCATCTACTTATTGTATTCATCACATTCTAGTAAGACAGACATTTGAAAGTGCTTGTTTCCTTCTGATAATCAACTTAATTACGTTACAATTAGAGCACTAACAATTGGTGAGCCGACGTGACCCGAACACGTAACCGCTACAAGTTTACGTAGGATATCGTTCAGATAACGAAGCATACACATTCTTCTTTGAAATAGCACGTTTGTCTAAAGGTGGAATTATCTGTTAAGCCTTTGTACCCAAGTAGCCAGTGATATAGTGCACTTAACTAAAGATGTTTTGATAAGCCTGTTTCTTTCACTAGCTGCACAACTATTTGCACAAATGTTTTGTTTTATGGAGAACATATACATGCGGGATAGGGACGAAATAATATTAATTATACCACTAAGACCATTTTTGAAGCGGTGGCTCCCTAATTAGTCCTGCAGCTATGCACAGTTCACGCCAGTCTAGAATATATTTAGTGTATATAGACCGAACTCGATACTTGTATGTAGACATTATTCTGATGAATTTTATTATCATTCAGATATAGGGTGGTCAAACCCCGCCGCAATATTTGGGGCTTAACACACAGTGGTGTTCAACTCAGTGGAACTTATAACAGGGGTTCCTGCAAAGAACGGTAACGCTTAATATTTGGTGAAAAACGTCGAGGAGTTTTTAAAATAAATGAACGGGGAATCAGAGTTTATCCTGGGTTACCACTAAGACCATTTTTGAAGCGGTGGCTCCCTAATTAGTCCTGCAGCTATGCACAGTCCACGCCAGTCTAGAATATATTTAGTGTATATAGACCGAACTCGATACTTGTATGTAGACATTATTCTGATGAATTTTATTATCATTCAGATATAGGGTGGTCAAACCCCGCCGCAATATTTGGGGCTTAACACACAGTGGTGTTCAACTCAGTGGAACTTACTAACAGGGGTCCTGCAAAGAACGGTAACGCTTAATATTTGGTGAAAAACGTCGAGGAGTTTTTAAAATAAATGAACGGGGAATCAGAGTTTATCCTGGGTTTGAAAACTGCGCGATTTCAGAAGTATCAAAAGTCTACTTTGTAGCTTAATGTACGCTTAACCGCCGGCTGAATCATAAACGGTGGAAATAAGCATAAGTCACACATCGTCGAAGAAAATAATCACCGTCCACGAAAGCCACTGTCAGGGCTATGCCAACCTAATTTCGAATGTGAGTGTTTTACCTGGAAGTGAATTTCGTTACTTGAAATAATATATTGGCTCAATAAATACATAAACAAAACGACAATTAGGTATCAAGTGCTCGTATTATTATCTTGAAGAAATCTTTTGTATTTCGATCGTTAAGGTAAATATTCACATGATCTTGTAGACCATTAAAAAAGATGCATACAAGCCGTCACCATTGGTGTGCAAAGTCAGCAGTACACTGCCGGGAAGGTTTTATGAAACTCACAAGCAATGTCATACCCAGGATTAATCGTTGTAGCATGAATTACTGGGGGGCATAGGATCAAAGCAGGCTGTAAGCGTTCGTCATCATATTCACTATAGTTTCGAAGGTCTTGTTCATCTAGAACTGTCAAGCTGGAGAAAATTTTACTGGTTCCACCAAACTAGTGATTTCAGGAGACGGTATGAAACTTGTGAAGCGAGGTGAGGTAAAGTCGAATTCACCTTGTGAATTTATCATCAAATTTGCAGGTAAAGTCATCGTGTAGACTGGCCGTGCATCTCAACCAGCCCTGTTCACCTTAGGCAATTTTGATGAGCGTTAGTATTGCCGCCTCGCATACAACTTTTACTCGGCTCGTTTTCCAACAGGGTATTCATGGCCGATCAACTTTGGTAATAGCGAACAGTGCGTCCGGTAAACCAAACAGAACACTCACGTTGGGATAGTGACCAATCATAGCAACCAATCATACCCGACCAAAAAGTTGGGGTCACATGACTGTAATGCACCGTGAGTCGAGTCACTGGATCGACGCAGGCATGTCGGAAAAATAAATCACATCACCCACAGTGGAAACATGCTTGCGTTTCTAAACGCGAGATTTCGGGCTCCTGAGACCTGCGGTATACGAGGGGTTTCAAAAATTTTGTCTCCCGCGGAAGTGGTACGCAGTTAACATTCTGGAACGGTGAAGGATGAACTCTAATAAGATTGGAAAAGGAAATCAAAATGTTCCCTTAAAACACTTTATATGAAACCCACTCAAGCAGTGCTGCCAGTCAGGTGTCACAATGAGTCGTGTGTAGATGCAATACGATGTCAAAATATGAGACAAAACTTGCCGATCCGCGATGCTTCCTTGTCGAAGATAGTTGATAAAGAACGCATTCTGTCCTGTTTTCACTTCATGACAAGGTGCTAAACTGATGCCTAAGTCTTCATTACCAGGCTTTTCAATCTCCACCATCACAGCTCCCGAAACATTGCGGTCCAGTTCTGTGGAAAATGAAACATAATGCTTATTTCGCCTTCTCACAAAATGATCGTTTTAGTTTGATTGGATAAGACGATGGAATCCAACTTCCGAAAAACTTGTCTTTGAGACAAATTCAGAGGACTAAAGTAATCTTTTCAGAATCGATCATGTTAGCTTCGACTAGTTTCCGTTAGATGAAACTAATTAGCCGTGTTACAGCAAGAGCCGTGTATCAAGATCTTCATTGGACAAACAGCAAGATGTGAACAAGCCGTTTGGTAATATTGTATGCCAGTGGCATAACAGACTGCAAGCCGAAAAACAAACCATCACAGTCGAACGAAGATGTCAGTAACGCAAACAGATTGCCAAAGGCTTGGTTTATGCGCTGGAAAGACAGAATCCATTGGGAATTGACCACACTGTCGCGTAAATTACAACAAATGGCGCAGCAGAAGCGGACGGTTTTGGGTTGTCTGTACAAGAGAAAAACGTGTGACAGGCAACCGAAGCATCCCTGTTTTCGTTTATACTTCAACAGGCTGGTGAACATCTGCTTTCCAACATGTCCAAAATTAGTGCATTCCATTTCGAAATTGGCGGGTTGAACAGACGACAGCTGAAAGCTAGTTAGTCGAAGATTTGAAGTTCACGATTTACAAATTCCTATGTCTTGAGCTGTTAAACTGAGTGGTGTTGCGCGTGGTGGTTTCAGAAATATGTTCCCTAAGGATAGAAAACGTAAGAAATAAAAGCATAGTCGGCGCCGCCATCATACACACAAACAGTCAGTATGTCGGTAAGTTGGATGTGATATTCCAAAATTCCGACAGTGCTCGTAGCACACGGTATACAGTCCCTCGGAACATGCACCTTGCGTCAGTGTACAATTGTTGAACTCCTTTTGGACCAACCATGACTCTTTTAATCGGATTTGAATACATGCCATTCTAACTTGAAAATATATACAAAAAAAACTTACCGAAATTTGCAACATTGTATTCGACCACAAGGTTTAGTCGATTTTTGCTAAGTTCGATGTGTTTTATTGCCTCTTCGCACGACAGTCGACCAGCCTGAACATTGTTGATGGCCAGGATCCGATCGCCAGGCTTAATTCGACCGTCTCTGTGAAAGTAAATAGTGAAAATCTTCTCTTCATTGAGTTCTTCTCCCTAGAAAATAGACTGAAACCATCATTTGGAGTTGCGGCAAATTTGGCTATGTACTAAGAAATATGGAAAGAAAAGCCACCTGATTTGCCATATGAATCGCTTCTTCTTCGTCACCACTTTACACAAGCAGCGTAGCAACCCGCGTCCGAATTTTCAAACTGATTGAGCCAGGCGTTTTTTGCATAATCTTGTCGTGATAAACGCGATGTATGAGCTAATTCAGGAAACGCTAAAGCAGTAATAACAGTCCACCATAAAGCACCAAGTGGAGGGGTAGGACTTTCAGACCTATATCATGAAAGAATCCAGAGTTTTACCACATGAGTGCATATCGGATCTTTTCAGCAGCAACCAACCCACCGCAACATACCCGGTTTGTTTCATCCGCGCTCAATTTGGAGATGACTGATCTAACCTTGTTTGGGAGCCCCTGTGAACTGCCGTATTCTAGGAAGCAATTACACCTCCCCCCTGAACTGACAAGTTAACCTGTAGTAAAAAGTGGAAGCACCGTTAGTAGTGTGCGTTGCAGCGAAATGCGAGATATACCTTTAAATATGGACTCAAGAATGACAAGTAAAGTCAGCTCTTTGAATTATTTGAAGTGCTGACGGGTTGAAACAAGACAAGAAGAGATGTCCACAGACAACTACTTTGCAAAAACTGCATTTTCCTGCCCAGCATTGGTGAAATGCACATAATGCAGATTAGTTGGAAAGAAGTCAGTATGTTGTGCTCAAATGACGTATAAATGTTAAATATGACCAACCATGGGTCTACAGTGGCTCTAGAAATTAATCATTCACCATCACAGTATTTGCGTGAATCTGTCTCAGATAACTTATGTCATTTTTACACCATTCATGAGTTGGGCATCACAACATTGAAGTTGCACAACTAATAAAGGTTGGTGGTAATCAGTAGCAATAAATGGCGTACAGATCCCGTATATCCAAATGGTGTTTTTAGCAAAAATGATTGCAGTGAGATCAAGATTTAGCGATGCTAGTTGAATTGAGCTGATATTTGAAGAAAACAGAACCGTCTTTGGTGCAAGAAAGGTTCATACCAACTAGATGCTCAAGAGAAGCTGTAAAATGTGCTCGAATTTTGGTTATTCTCATGTGCATTGTTGGTCTACACTAAAGAACGAGGAGGAAAATTTCTTCCTGTAATGATTTTCGGATTTTCACGATGCCACACAAGTGTAATCCGTAAAGATAAGTTTTGTTTGTCTACTTTGCGGCAGGAGCCACTATAAGCTACTATCACTAATTTTAAATCAGTTGTTAAGTAGTTTACATTTGGATGATAACTCTCACTCGAATATTCTGAATACCAAGTTACGGAAAACTAGAAATTTTCTTGGCATCCTAGCTAGTTTTTTCCATGTGAAGGCCAGTCATTCTGCTTTTAGGCTACATGGATTGTGACAGTTGTCAAGTGAGCCAGATCTGTCCCATCGAGGAGTTCGTGTTCAGAAAGATGCGGTAGACGTTGGCCAGGTGACCGGACAACCCAGAAGTGATCAATCAGATGAAGCAAACTAAACTGGGAACAGCAGAATGATTGTAACCTCACGTGAAATTTCGCAGCAACCTACTAAAAGTGGTACCGTTTCATTTTGGCGTCACTCTTGCTTGAACAGCCGTCCTCCTGTCCTCACCCACTCATTCTAGTGAGTCCACGCTGAGGACTAGACTAATTGAACTCAAAGTTGTTATTATTAGAGCTCACTGAAGGTGTGCGCCATTGGCGGTGACGGAATTCGAACTCTTGATGTCTGGCATGCAAAGCGAGCGCGTAATCACTACTCTTTCGAAAGACGCTGTACCCATCTGAATTTTCATGTTCGAAAACGTTTTGTGAAGATGAACCGCATTTCCTGCTCCTTGCATACTGTGCAATAGGAATCCTCTAAAAAGCATAAATTACGAAGAGAGTGATGATCCCACTGATGATCCACTTTAGAGGGTCACTTGTATCTCTGTCGGGGTCAACATAACTCTACATGCAGTTTATAGCACAACTCACATCATTCCTTAAAAACAGAGTCACCGAGGCAAACAAGCGGGGTGTGTTAGATGGCGCAGATTATGTGGTTAATCAAAGTACCTTCGAATCGCCAGAGGAGCTCTCTGGCCTTGGTAATAAAGTGTGCAATCAAAGCACTATTTATGAATATTTTTGGCAAAAGATAGGTTGTCATGGCTAGTCACACTAGGAAAGATTTGGCAGGAAAGCTAAAGTTATAAATATTGAATGCCAAAAGTTGCAGTGAGCTTAAGAGAGTCCATCTGCTGAATGAGGACATAAAGCCTTCTTGGATAACTTAAGGAAACGGTCAGCTTGAAACAATTCGCAACCGTCTATTTGAATGATTTTGCCTTCCGAACTTTTATCTCTTTTGTCTTCATAACATACCGTGATAAAATTCCTGCAAATCCCAAAACGGTCTGAAGGAACTCCACTTACGACTCAATATTCTAATGGGGAGACACAATCAATTTGGTTACATGTCACATGTGAAATGCCCCTTGTTTCATCTTCATTTTACATTGAGCCATATGTATACATGTATGAAAACAGTCAAAGATACGTGCCCGGTCATTAAAAATTTATATTTATATAGGGCATTCAAAAATAATTGTCACAAATAAACATGCGGACAGTAGTAAGCGATCACTTTCTGTTTAGAATATGATATTTTCTACGAATGTACGAATTTCCTGCAAAGGCAGACGTAATCACCACCAGTCCTTGACCCCATTTGAGCTTTTGCAATTGCACTGTTGTAATTCAAACAGTTTGCTCACTTTACCTTCTTCTCAGTTGCGATTTTCGTCTTCAAAGAGATTCAATAAATACAAAAGGCCAAAAGTTATTGTACGGCTGTTTTTAATCTGCAACGCTGCGCGTCACAAATTCCTCGGTAGATTCGAATTTGAGATATCTTTTCTAATGGAATAAATCTGTTGCGTTCGCCAGAAGATGATTGATTAACTCTTGTCAGGCTTGACTGCCATGGGTTCAACCGACTACCAAGGACGGGAACGAACTCTTTCATCAAGGGTTCGAAAAAGTAAGAAATTCAGACCACGGTATGGAGCGGTATAGTGACTTCGCTTTCAAAACAGCAAAAAAGAGCGAAAATTCCACCTACAGAGTGTGTATTTTACAGTAGATGAAAATCTATGAAAGTTAACTGACACTAGGGGTAGCCAAAAATACAACCATATATGCCAGTACAGAATGAGTTCAAAGTTTCCAAAATTTTTGAATTACATTTTTTCGAAATCGACTAACCTACCAAGGAATTCTTCCCTGTGTCCCTGAAAATTTACGTAAATTATGCACGAGTCGTCCGAACTGATATATCAGCATTGTACGGTTTCAATAATCAAGAACGGATGGATCATACCACTAGAAAATTTCCACACTAGAGTGAATGCTTCCCCGAAAACTGCTTCGACTCATTCAACCGGCAAACAGACCTCGCGTAAACTATTTGATTTAAAATACACAGAGGTGATATATCTCCGGTTTGACAAGGTCTCGAGAGAACCTGGCAAGTCATGAACAAATTGCATCTGCATTCGCGGCTAAGATAACAAAACGTGCAAACTGGCTCACAGCGTAAAATACTGTGGAGATATTTTTCAGTAACTTGACAGATTCCGTAACTACTTCACAGCTTAATTACTATTGTCTTAAGCCCTTCTCGGCTGGTCCGAAATACTCTCCTAACTTTTTAGTCAGAATACCCGTATTAGATTGAATTTCAACGTTTATCAATGTCCATTTGTGGTGGTCGCGAGGTTAGCTACAAACCTCTTTGCTCTGAAAATGAGCTACTTTTGAGAGCGACACATACACGCAAGTGATATATTCCGATACAAACCTCTTTGCTCTGAAAATGAGCTACTTTTGAGAGCGACACATACACGCAAGTGATTATATTCCGAAAAAAAAAACAAAATGACATTGTTCAGTACAATATTTCTTATATGGCCACACAACATAGTCCGTCTGTAAGTAGATGAGCTTTGTTTGATGCCCTTGGGACAGTTGTGAAGTGTCGTTTCATGGATTATGGTTGAACGATGGCTATTTCTTCTTATACGATTCATCTCTCTACCGAGATGACAGTGAGTGTTACTGGGAATGTCACTATGATGTGGCACACGAATTCCACTGAAGAAACATAAGATGTCAGTATGCATTCGCTGTCTCGAATGGGGAAAGGAATGAGACTAATGATACAGCGAAAGAAATTCACCTCATCCTGATCAGAAACTTTGGCACTAAGTGGTCCACACGCATGTGAAGTGTAACAAAACCTTAGTGGCAGCATGGGGAACAAGGAACTGAAAAGATAAGGCTGTCAACTTCCTGATTTGAACTATACTCATTCAGGAATATACTTTTGTTCTTAAACACTACCAGTTAAATGCTTCTTAGTAAGGGTCGTGGAACAAATATGAAAGACAATATCGTCATCAGCATATGTAAATGAGGATAACACCAGCCATCGCAATGAAGCCAACCGGAGGTTCATATGGGTTGAACTTGAGTATCCATCTGAGTGATCTGATTTTCCATATAGTTTACAATCAAAGCCATTGGGGATCTAATTTTTGAATCCCCTACGGTAGGCCCGAAGTAGAGACACGTTATTACGGTAGATAACTGACGAAATGCGCCGTCTTCTGAGGTATACATCAGAGCACAGCTATCCTTCGACCAGCTTGATTTCTTTTTCACCAAACTTTCTTGTGTAATGCGCGCATATAGCGGTTTCTTACGTAATGGACGTGTCTTCCGCAAGGTGGTACCGAGAAATTGCATTTGCACTTTTCTATGCAGACAGTGGAAATGGAATTTAGGATCCAGAATTCTAGCTCAAAACGAACAAATTCGAGTTGATTGCTATTTTGTGCAGCAGAATCCCAAGCCACATACATGGCCAATTAGGAAGTTCCGATGAACATCATTTTCAC